CTTTTATGTCTTTGAAGTTCTAACATAAAGATTCATTGGTAGTGATTAACTATGACTGCCATGCTTCAAGGATAAAACTGCTTCTCTGGAGGATGCTACTGATAGCTGAGTTGGAATGTTAATTTCATTTTAATGATGTTGAAAAATTGATTTCAAATCCATATTCATTTAGCAATGATATCCTTTTGGAAGAATATAGCATATCCAACATAATAATATATTACCTATATTATAACTAAAGAGTGAAAATGATAAATTAGTATATTAATATTTATATGGTATTTTTCAGTTTTGGTCTCAATTATGAAAGATTTTAGTATACATGTATGTTTCAAAAAATTATACAGTATAAAAATGTAGGAGGAAAATTAGCAGGTCAAAATTAGGATAAAGACTTCAGAACATATATATCTAGAGATATATATACATTCACAGGATATTCTGTCAATTTTAATATGTTCACTGACTACCAAAGACTGTCATGAAAGTTAGGTGTATTACTATTGAAACAGCAAGTTCATCTTTAATCTCAAAAGTCTGTAAAATAGAGTTGAGCCTAAAAATGAATTTTTATTTTGTCAATACATGTAAAACAGTCCAGATTAACATGTCTTCAGATTGAAACTATAAAGTAAAAATACGAAACAAAAAATATTTGAATGGAAACATGCTTATGATATTTCTGAACCCCAAAGAGAAAAATCTTAACATGGTCAGAGAGAAATGGAGAAGAAACTCTACATGTTATATACAAAAGTGACAATTAATTTACATTGGATATAACTAGAAGTGAGAAGAGGAGTAGCTTTAAAGTTTGAAGGGAAAATTACTTTAAACCAATAGTTTTATACTTCTGGCCATTATCAACTAATTTTAGATGTAGCTGTATTTCCAGATCTCTAAGGACTCAGGAAAGTTGCCACAAGCCCAACATTTCTAGAGATGGTGATATGGGAAATTGTCAGCTAAATATGTTCCAGGAAAATAAAGACAAGAAATATGATGAGATATGAATACAAATACACTAACATTGATACTTTAAAAACTCTTTTAGATGCTAATGACCTAAACTTTCATCTCCTTCCTTGTGAATTTATAGTCCTTGATTCTAGAGAGACACATTTACAAAATCATAATGTTGTAGAGGCTATTTTTAATGAGAAGTGGGGATTATACTTGTGTGTCTTGGAAGCCTGTGACAACCCCACTTTTTCTGTGTCAGGTAAGTATGTTGAATTTTGGGCTTCAGTTTTAGGAACCCCCCCTTTTTATTTGCCATGTACTTAAGTCATATTCTAACAGTTTGGTAATAAAGCTGACAGTTTTAGCTCTAATTGCGACTCCTTTGTCTATCATCAAATAGGTTCTCAAGTTGGAATATGTTGTACACTTGAAACTAATATAACATTTTATGTTAATTATACTTCAATAAAAATATTATGCTCAGATGAAACAATGAAAAGAAAATCAGGTTTTTATGAGCCAGACCATGTAAGTTTGTCTCCTTGCAACAGTTAACTTTTGTATTTGTGTGGCTGACTTCAGTTGGTCATCTTGAGCAAGTAACTGTAGGTTTTAGATTAAAACATTGGCTAGAGAGCTAAGAAAGGGAAATAGGTTCTTAAATATCAGGGTGACAGTTAGAAAAGGGAAGAGGTGAAATTCTCAGGTCTAGTTGCTCATAATATGAATGTTAGAAATGGTAATGCCATTTAGTATGTGTTAAGTCAGAGAAGGTGCCTGGAGTCCACTGAAACCAGACAAAGGATGATGGACAAGATCTCAGAGAGCAGTAACACTCCAGAAGAGCCAACATCAAGAAAACTATAAGAATCACAAATTTAATATGAAGAGAACATATTGAGAGTATTAAGTGACTCAGTGCTTAAATATTAGGAGAGCTATACCGTGAGGCTACAGAAAAACTGGTCAAATTTTAGTGGGGAAGACCAGTAAATATTCTTTACTCAAAGAATTACTAGATGAGTTTCAGTTAGACAGAATCATTGTAGGTATTTACTGTACCCTCTGTAAACCTGCTGGAACAATGAATACAATTAAAGCTTTAAAGGAAAGTGCAGCAAAGATAAGGCACAGTAAAAGCAAACCAGGCAGAACAATAGTAGAGCGACTTCAGGCCTGGGTGAGATGGTGTTCTGATGGGATAGCACCTGAGTGGTAACTCAGATTACCCAACTCAGGAAGGGAAAGGTTGGCAAGATTTTCTTGAACAGTGGGTGCTTCAGCAGATCAAGTATTGTGCTGTTCCTATTTCTGATCATAGGAAAATAACTAGAAATATAAGAAAAACAAATGCCTACATCACAAAGTAAAGTAAAAGTAGAATGAAGTAGGGACACAGATCCAGTAAGCTGTTCTAACCTATGTATGTTTAGTATACTGGGTGGCAAATGTGCCTCAAATTAGACCTTTGTTTGAGAACGCCAACATTACAGATTTCTGAACTTTGCAAGAATTTGGACTATTTTGCATGCTGTTCTCTGTAAGTATCTCCCACATATGGTTTTAAAAATAATGTGTCATAACTAACTTCTTTAGATAAGATTTCTCTCAATTAAATTTAAATCCACAGATTGTCAACTGTAGATACCCGATATGCTCGTAGAGTTGAAAATAAGATTTTTCTTCAGCTCTGCTTATTCTCATTGAGACCAAGGAAGCTCTGATAGGAATTTTGGGGCAGAGAACATAGGTCTTAAATACTTCATCCTAGAAACATCATTTGGCTCGATCAATGGATAGAATGTAGATAAACAATTGGTAAGAAGCCACAGTCGTTGCGACTATGCACATAAGCCTATAATTGTTCAACATTTTGAAAGAAATTGTTCTGTTTTTCTTTCTGTTATTTGAATTTTTTCTCCATCTTGAAAGATAATAAACATGAAATAATTTATTTTGTCTAGCTTATAAAACTCATTATATTAGATTTTGGTAATCCAGAAAGTAAGGCATGGTGTCATCCAAGTCCTGAGTAAGTATTAGCATTTACATACATCTCATAAATACTGGTTACCTGTTTATACACATGGAATAATCAGTAATACCAGAAATACTCCTGTCCTTCTATCAATCAACTCTGCCTTGTCTTGTTGGATCCATTTTAACCCAAATACTACTATTCTATGAGAAATGTTATTATTATAAAATTTTCTTACTATTCTTCTTAATATTAAAGACAAGTAGCTTATTTAACACATTATAAAATTATAATTTGGCCAAAACATATTGCAAAAATAAAACTCAAAAATCAAGTACAGTAAAATCTTCAAAGTAAGTCCAGAATTAAAATTGGTTTCTGACTATGAGGGTAGTCAGGATTTGAGAAATAATTCCATAAAGTTAACATTAAGTCAATCCAATAGTAAAAGATAAAATTTAAATATACTATTGTTTAAATCTTGCATAATTGGAATGTTTAATTTTAGTGATTGTTGAAAAGGACATTTAATTTGGTTCCATAAACAACCAATGAACTATGTGGTTTGCCTCAATATCATCCTTGTATGCAATGTGAAAACAGGCCAAATTGCCATTATATGTAAATATTTCATTACAGGAGAAATGAAAATTAACTTTTAAGTGAAATAAAACAAGTTCATTAGCCAGGCTGGGCTTTCATTATTCTTATTCCTTTAGAATTAAAGTAATTTTGAATAAAGAAAATTGAGAATTCTTTATACTTGAAATAAATTTTAAAGAGTCTATCAAAAGAGACAATTTTTTACAAGAATGTTTCCTCAATATATAACCATAAAACTGAATAAAACATTCCTTGATAGTAATAAATAAAGAGATTTTAAACAGATTGTGATAATATTTAATTATACTTTTGAGTGTCAGTAATAAAAAAAGAAATATCTACTAGTATTGAATGGAACTGAGCATTTGGCGTGTATTCAAGAAATAATATTCTCAAGGTCATTTTTTTTCTCCACAGTATTCCTATTAAATTTGGATATATATGTATATATAAATTTAATATAATACAAATTTGGAGACATATATAATTTGACTATGTAGAAAATAATTGGGCTAGTGAGCTCTTCTACAACTTGTAAGTTTGTATTTCCTCATTATTAGTAAACATCTGTAAAGAAAACAAGAAGAAAAAATATGAAGTAAATTGATTATCCCAAATGTTATAACCCAATGAGCATATCTGTTACCATAATGATGACTACAGCAATGAATATTATTTCCTAGGAAAGAAGGTAAACATAAAAAATACAAACACAATGTAATAGGTATATTGGAAGGAGGTAAGGAAAAGAAGTAACCAACCAATAGATTCTGGAATGGAGAAATCCTTTGGCTTTTAAAGAACATGTTCTATAGGTACTAGTTCATTGCTGCAAATGTTACTTTCTATCTTAAAAATATGTTATTTATGGACCCACTAGCTTTCTAACAGCTGCTAAGACTCAACATTTGCCAATTTTGCAAGTCATTTAAATGTTGCATATTATATATGTGAATGAAAAGATACACTATCAGTTTCCTGCCAGATGCAAAACAATCTGCTCTGGGTCTAAAATAGGTTTATGTTCAATCAGTCAGGGAAATATTCTTTTAAATACTCCAGTGTAAGAGGAGATGTTTTAATTTTCAGAGGAAACACAAAGTTGGATGGTATATGCTCCCTTTTTATCATACTAATTCAGCACTAAATTTTGCATCAAATAGATTATCACATACTTACAGGGCTACATTTAAATATTTTAAATACATGTGAGTTTTGCAATCAATGCATTGGTCTCTTAGAAGAAACTGTCAATTTCTACCACACATCAGAGTTTTGGACATCTATTTCAAACTGTAGCTCAGTAGAACCAGAAAACTCCAGCACTGAGTAGTAATAGGGAAAACGAGAACAACAGTGGCCTTAGTCTATTGTTTCCAACAACCGTCTTTTTGATTCCCCACAAATGATAAAAAGTACAAGTTAGAAAATGGAGGAAGAAAATCTCCAAACCTACTTTTTCTTCAGTCTTCTATCCTTCTCAGCTTGAGTTCCAAGTTTGCCCAACCCCAGGGACTCCTGAGCGGCAGCTTCAGTCTCCATAAATCCTCCTGTGAAGAAGTAACTATTCATATTAGGTTGGATACATTGGGTCAATTCTGAAAATAAATTTTTTTAAGTTATTTGATCAGCTGTTCAGTATCACACACTCTTTTTCTTTTTTAGATCGTCCTTATATTGCTAATCCAGCATGCATAAAATGGCATGGGTACATAAATGAACGTACACTGAGAGAATGAAAAGGGGAGGTAACTATTCACCTACTATTTACACCACCAGCAACATAATACATAATCTATGGAATATACAGTCCATGGAACATACAAGCTTCAAGGTCTCTTTTTCTTCTTATGAAAAAGGAGAGCACATATCTGTGTAGTGCATGAGATTTTATTTCAACATTTGAAATTTGATATATTTGATACATAATGGGATAAATGATAGGCCTATGAACACAATTGGGTGCATGTCTTCAATTCTAAATCAAGAGAATATAGAGGCATTTGCTGACTTCTAAAGATTTTTCATAGCCTGCTTCTGGCATCCTCTTTTCCTCACCTGGCTGACTCCTTCATCCTTCAGTATATGCCTTACTTCCAGAACTTCATATGTTCTGGCAGGTTTGTTTTGTTTTGTAAAATTTATAATTATATCTGAAAAAAAAAAACCCTGTATCTTCAAAAGATCTTAGTAAGAATGGTTTTTACCCAGCAAGCCACTAATTATTTGGTATAGTATCATTTTTATTAGTGTTGAAAAATATGTAATATACATAACCTTCCAAGGAAAGGAAGAAAAAAGAAAAGTATGTTGGGCATCAAACAGAATTACCCATTTTACAATGGAATTCATTCATTCAGGGTCCATAAACATATAGTTAATTCATAAATTCTTTGTTACAGTTTGAAAACTGAGAACTTAATCCTGGACTCTGTTTTGTTTTTGGCATTTACTATATGCAAAAAACATGAAGTCAATGTAAATGAAAAAATGTTCACTATTTTCAAGTGAGTTAAAGTACATATATTTTTTAAATGAAAGAGATTTCAATTCCAGTTAAGCACAAGATTAGGTAGAAAGAATTAAGCTAATACTAACTTTTACAAAGACTACTACTACTACTACTACTACTCCTAAACACACACACACACACACCACACACACACACACCACCAATATATCAATAAATAAAATTATTGAAGACAATTTTACTCTTCTGTCACTGTAATTTCCTGACTTCACATTTGCAGAGCTTGACCAGGTTATGTTTTCTCTAGTGAAAAAAAATACCTTATTAAAGTGTCAGTGACAAATTGTGTTGTTGCTGTTTTTCATAATTTATTTTAGCAAATAATTTATAATACTCAATGCTATTGATTCTGGAGCATTGGAATAAATGTTAATCTCATAGCCTAGTAACTGTTAACAAACTGTATAATTGTAATACAGTCCTCTTTAATTGAAACATATTGATTGCTATCTAGATCTAATCAATAATTTTGAGTTCAGGGACAAAAATTTATTTTATTCAATTACGCACATGTGAACTAATACTTAAAATTTTTTATTATGAAAGAATTTTATTGTTGGTACCATTGGGAAAGTCATCCAGTAGCTGACTGAAGGACTCTTGGGGGTCATTTTTAAATGTGGGATTTTCCATTTATTCACAGTATGTGAATATTTTATTTCTTTCATCAGTGTACTTGCCTTATATAATTATTATTATATAATATAGTCCAAATATAATTATGGACTTGCCATAAATTATTATTCACAGACTACAAGTAACAAAATTGTTTTCCTGAAATGGAAATGAAAATGAATGATTCCCTTAAATGTTACAAAATTCTAGATCAGATGGGGACAAACAGACTGATGAAGTAGATCCATTAAATAAACAATGAGACATTTCAACCACCAAGTGGTTGTATGAATCAGGAGTTTGGTTTTTTTCTGAGCAAAGAAGAATATCTAAATTATCATTTAAATGTTTTCAAGAACCCAATATTTTAATTAGCAAAAATAACATAAAAAAAGCTCTGGGAGAGAAAGAAAGCTCTAGAAGAATATTGTTGAGTCAAAACTAGACCCTGGAAAATAGATATTAGAATTGTTTCTCATAAATAAAACCATAAAAAAAAGCAGGAAGAGCTTGGAAATACTCTGAATACTTCAAAATCTAATATCCTTTGAATAGAGCACTTGATAGAGAATTATGGCTACATCCTATTTCAAAATGCCAATAGAAAATGACACTTATGGTCATAGTAGGTACAACTATTTTTAAGCATCACATAAGCAGGACGGTACCCTTGAGCAAGAGCAAAAGTCTAGTCACATGTATGTTTTCAGCCCAGTTAAAACATTTCTGGATAGAACTGATCCATCCAATTTCAGGTTCTGGCTACTGGTAAGGATGATCTCAGCCAAACCAGCTTAGGAACTCTTATTTTATGAATGATTATCTAAATCTGGAGAGAGTCTGCCTCATTCTTGCCCAGCTGGTAGTGAGTTCATACGGCTGTGTGGATTTTCGGAATGTCTACCTATTTATCTATACCAATATTTTAATATACTAGTCATACAAGGGTTTGAAGCACTTGAAATGTGACTAGTGCAAATTAAGTGTTGCAAGTATAAAACACATATGATTTTGAAAATGTAGTGCAAAAAAAGAATATATCTAATTTTATATTGATTACATGTTAAAATACTTCTGATATATAGACAAATAATTATTGAGATTTATCTCACCTCACTGGTCTCCTTTTACTTTCATAATGTTATAGATGATATTCAAATTTACGGGTTGAATTACATTTCTGTTGGGCAGCTCTATATATCCCGGCGGTTCTAAACTGCAGACAGTACCAATACCCAGAAGAAATATGAATATTTGTGTATGTTGGTTGGAGGAGAGAAACACATATTCAGATGTCACGGTGACTGCAAAGGGCAACTGATAGATACTGGGCAGAGAACAAGGATTCTAAGCATTCTTAAATAAGAAAATCCTTTAATGTGTCCTTTACATCCAAGAGTGCCCCTGATATGAAACACCTAGCCTGTGGAGGCTAGGGGTTACTTACTCTTCAGGAGGTCTTCTAGGAGTATGAAGCGCATATCATCAGCCCCACCCGTTCATGGCATGAGGTACTCAGGAATACAAGGGGTGAGTTTCATCATTCAGTGGATTACTTAGATAATAAATTGCTTATCACTTTGCCAATAGCCACTCTAGTATTTCTGCAGGCAAATGCCAAGTCCAAATCGTTGCAGTCAATGAAGTTCTCTGTGCTGTCACTAAGCATACTTACTCTGGTGAGGTCTTTCAGGTATTGAAATTGTTGGACACAGGTCCACTCCTGTGGATGTGGGTATTCCACTGAAGTGTTTTTTTCTAGCTTCGTTTCTACATAAACGTTTTGAATAACTCAAATCAGCATGACAATGATCTGGTAGTCCAACATCATACAATATCATTCTATAAAGCAGGAGTGAGTAATTGTCAGATCACCCTTTTGGAAACAGAGTTAGGCTACTGTCCCAGAGCAACCTTATGGGTGTAAGTCTGGGCTCTCTGGGATATCTGGTTGACCCCAAGCATGAGGTAGAGAGTCAGTGTGCACTCTGAAGGGGAGAAACAGGGACTCAAATCCATATGGTTTGGTTGGATCAGGCACCATGCCCAGATGGCACAGCTTCCCTGGTTTGTCCTAGGGTCTGAAAGGAAAATTAAAAAAAAAAAAAAATCAGTGCTTCCGATGACTGGACCCACACAGGTCCAAATCTTGGCTAATAGTCCTGCCCAGCTAGCTCTGCCAGCCCCAGTCTCTCCCAGGCACCAGAAAGGATGACAGAAAATTCCAAGGAAAGTATTGTAAAGTACGAGGCTTCCTAAGACCCAGACCAAGGAATTCAGAAAAGGACCCTCATATACCTGGATCTATGAATGGTACTGGTTTGAGCCTTCTGTTCATCCAGACTGTAAGGGCAAATATCTCTGTTTCTTGGCTCTTAGATGCCACTCAAAATAATTTATTTCATGTTGGCCCTTGAGGTACAAGACTGTAGGAATTTCTAGCCAAAACCCACATTGCAGGGTCTGTGCCTCTCCATTTGTCCAATAGAAGAATGTATTTAACAAGGGGCTTCTTACTCCAGAGAGATTAAGATTGCAATCTGTTGCCCACTGGTGACTTCATCTCTTCTTTCATCTGATCTCTCTTCAGTATTAAAACCATAGCATTCACTTGGATTTAAACACACTTTGAGTTTATAAATGGTTACTTCTTTGCTCTGTATCTGTTAGTCTGTTAGCTCTCTGAATAACACACCTCGATACAGGGCCTGGCTCATAAAGGGTACATGATAAATGCTCTCATAACTGAAGCTAAATAGTGCTTTCTTCACAAAAGGCCCTTTTACCATGCAGAGTATGAGTCATCTCTAATAGATACTTTGTGGAATTTATATTGTATCTGTTGGCTCCATTGCATCTAGGAACAATGTAAATTTGGGAGTAAAGGCCAGCACAAGCCACACAAATTTTATGTGTAGAAAGGTGCTTGCCAAATAATCCTGGTGCAATGTTGATATTGTTTTTGTCATTATGAAGTTATTTTCTTCATTATGCTGATTACAGTAGGTCAAGGAGTTCAGGCAACTATAATACAATCTGTCAAATGACCATAAAGGAAACAATTGTAATTCAGTAGGCAAAAAATTCTCTAGGAAATGTATTTATTTATATTATTTATGTATTTATTTATACATTTATGTATTTATTTTTACTTAGTGATACATGTATTTTATACATTAGTAATCGTGGACACTGCCTCTTCAATTTAATATATTTTTTCTTTTTTACTGTTTTCATTTTCATAGATTTGTCACATTTGGTTCTACTGGATCAAGTCTCTATTCTTAAAAATCTCTTTGTCTGATTTCTCTTGTCATCTCTTACAGTGCCCGTCAATGGCCTTTTTTCCTAAATTTTTAATGTTTATTTTATTTTTCAACATTTATTAATTTTGAGAGAGAGACAGATAGAGCTCATCTAGAGGAGGGGGGAGACAGAGAGGGAGACACAGAATCCAAAGCAAGTTCCAGGCTCTGAGGTGTCAGCACACAGCCTGATGCAGGGCTCGAACTCATGAACGGTGAGATCGTGACCTAAGCCAAAGTTGGATGCTTAACCAACTGAGCCACCCAGGTGCCCCTAATGTTTATTTTATTTTTGAGGAGTGTGAGAGAGAGCAGAGGGCAAGTGGGGAAGGGGCAGAGAGAGACAGAGACGTAGAATCTGAAGTAGGCTCCAGGCTCTGAGCACAGAGTCTGATGCAGGGCTCGAACTCAAAACTGTGAGGTCATGACGTGAGGCTAAGTCAGACACTTAACTGACTAAGCCACCTAGACACCCCAGTGGCCTCTTTTCTTTTCCCTTATCATTCAGTGTTAACATCAGTTAGGATGGTCATGTGTGTTTTGTTCTTTTTTTCTTTACAGTCATTATAACTGGAGTTCTCTGATGACCTGGGAGAGCTGGTATTTCCCTAGGTAGTAAATCAAAGAATCTGTTAAGATCATATGGAGAGATATTTTGAACCCTCCATAACTGAGTTTTTGAGATAATTTTTAGGAATAACACTTTTTTTTCATTTGTGGTTCCTATCCATATCAATAATCCATAAATCAGATAGCTATGCTATTGAAATATTCATGTCAAGTGACCAGGGATGTACTGACCAAGGACAGAGTGAATCCTAATTAGGCCATTAGAAACCTTGATCCAAGGTGTCATATTGCACTTACTAGCACTATAATAGGAGGATTATTCAACCAGTTACAAGCCTCACTGAATTTTCCATCACCCAGGCCCCACTGTGACATCTTGTCCACAGGGATGCCATGAGTCACAGCTCACCCACTGACTTTCCTGTTCTCTTACTGAGTAACTTTGTTGAAGAAACAAATGAGTGTCATTTGACAGTTATTTTTAACACACTTTAATTTGTTTTGCTTCAAAATCGGTTAATGCCTTCAGATAAAATTAAAAGGCAAGGCAGTCAGGATTCCAACAATTGATATATAGTCATAGATTGTGGGGTTCAAACCCTTTTTCCCTAGCGACACTGGTAGGATAGACAATGTATCAGGTAAAATTTTTCTGGATCAAAAATATGTTGATGGTTTTGTTTTGTTTTTAATAAAAGGTTGGATATGCTTATGTACTCTTTCTTACTAAACTGAAAGTTGCTTGATGCCAACAGTTATGCTTTAGCCATTTTATTAAGGTTCATGATTGGTACTTGAAACTTAAAAGTGGCTCAATATATGCTTATTCACTCAAAGTAGGAAGACTATTTGTACATTAGTTTGATTCACCATGGTTAGGGGTTATTAATGCAGTCGCACTAACTGATCCATCGTACCTGAAGTTTATCTTATAATCCTAGATTTTCAGATTATTATATAATGCAAACAACACCCTCTTTACCAATATTCTCCTCTGCAAACTATTAAAATTTCTCCTTTGTTGCTTATCATTCCTGATGGGACCAAGTGAACATTTTCATAGTTTTGTTTAGACAGTTTTCTTCCTACATACCGTATTTCATTTAGAATTATGTAACAGAACTATTCTCAGATTAATTTTTTCCCCTTATGAGCTAAACTCTTTAACTAAGAGTTCAAAATACTAGGACGTGGTCCAAAATTTCAAATTTGGTTCTTTGTGTCGCTCCCTGGTGGTCTAGTGATTAGGATTCGGCGCTCTCAAATTTGGTTCCTTGACACCATCATCCATATACCATATTACTTACCATGCCATTTTTTTCTATTTCTATTCTCATCGATAAAGAAAGAAAATTGGCAGTGACTGTATCTGAATTTTCCAGATCAAGGTATTAAGGTAATAACCACTAGAGATTCTTTCTTAGCTTTTCTGATGCACAAAGCAGCACTAGTAGGTGGTAGTCCCTGGGTTTGATACGTTTTCACATTCTTCCTCTTACAACCTGGATACACCTTCCAAGACAAATGTAGACCTGAGTCCACATCCTTCAAACAAAGAACCAGTGGTGTCATGTACCATATTCTTTTGGGACAAATATGGTTTCTTAGAACCTACCTGTGCCTGTATTTTCTTCTTATTTACTCAAGTCTTATTTCCAGCAAAGACTTTTTATCTGTGGCTTCTCCAGGAGCTTGGATTCACCTTCAACATAGCTCCATAGAAATAGATATTTGTAACTGTCTTCCTCATCAGTATTGCAGTCCTTAGCATGCTTTTGACCCTGGCTTTGTTTATGTGGTAACTCTTTTGTTCTTCAGGGTAAAACAAAATTGCTCAGGGTTCAGAAATCTTCCCAGGGTGATGATATGATCATGGATAACTATTGCTAGTTTATAATTTGGATGGAGTTGATGACTGATTCCCTTTATATCTGGTCTGACATAAAGACACGCAGTTACTAAAAATAGGTAAGAAAGGCTAGGTTTCTAGAAGAATGTATATTTTTCTGGACTTTAAGTTATATTTTGGATACCTTAATTTTGACAGAATATTGTTAGCAAAATTTCTAACGATTCAGTAACTCTTCATCAAAGTTAAATTTGAAATAAAAATAGAAAAAATTCCAAAAGAGAAAGGTGATTGAATATATTTTAAAAGGGAAAAGTAAATTATAGATTCTAAAATGAATATATATGTTTAAATAAGAATAAATAAAATGATTACTATGTTAGGAAAACAGTTTAAAATAACTATGCTATTGTGAATTACACTGTAATATATTGGCTATGACAAAAAATTTGGTAAAATTATAAATAGTTATCAAATAAAACATTCAAACAATGCCTTGACATGCATATTTTACATCTAAAAAATAATCATCTTCTATCTTCTTTCCTTATGCAATAATTTTTTTAATAGCCTAAGGAGTTTCTCTCCTGAGAAACAGAAGTCTGAAGAAGATTTAATGCACCTGCTGAGTAACATTTAGTCACACAGCTGGCTGCACTTTAGTTTCCCATGGTTTCTGATGCTTTGTGTGGGTTTTACATTATGGAAGTTGAGAAAGGCACTTCTGAATATACTACATGTGTCCATCTGCAAACATAAATATTAGTTTCAGAAATGTTTTTGGTGCCAGGTCAGAAAAGTGAGCCAGGGATTGGAGCATTACTTGTAAGTAATCATTCTTTTATATGGGAAACTAAAGAAAGTGCTAAGAGATTTGTATTATTCTATTCAGCATTTACCATTGGAGGTAGGAGCTAAATATTTTTTAATAGTTTAATTATATTTATAAGTTAAATAGGAAAAGATGGAAAAAAGAATTTTCAATCACAAATAACCAATATGATGAAAAGAGATTTCAGAAGAAAACATATAGGAAGACACACACACACACACACACACTCACACACACACACACAAACACACACACACACACCAAGTGTATATTTACCTAGGGTCATTTCAAGTGTACTGATCTATCTATCTATTATCTATCTATTTGTTTATCTATTTTAAAGTTTATTTATTTATTTTGATAGAGACAGATAGCACACACAAGCGGGGGAAGGGCCAAAAGAGGAAAAGAGAGAGAATCCCAAGCACACACTACACTGTTAGTGCAGCCCTCAATGCAGGGCTCGAACCTATGAACCATGAGATCATGACTTAGCCAAAATCAAGAGTTGGGCACTTAACAAACAGCCACCCAGGCATCCCCTTTATATATAGTTATTTACAATTTTTTTAATGTTTACTTATTTTTGAGAAAGAGAGAGAGAGAGAGACAGCACGAGTTTACTTATTTTTGAGAGGCAGAGAGAGAAGGAGACACAGAATCCAAAGCAAGCTCCAGGCTCTGAGCCATCACCACAGAGCCTGATACAGGGCTCGAACTCATGGACCACGAGATTATGACCTGAGCCGAAGCTGGATGCTCAACCAACTGAGCCACTCAGGGGCCCCTAAACTTTATTAATTTATTTTGAGAGAGAGAGAAAGTGTGAGCCATGGAAGGGCACAGAGAGAGGGAGAGGGAGAATACCAAGCACTGAGAGCTTATTGCCCAACATGGGTTCAATCTCACAAATCAAACCGTGAGATTCTGACCTGAGCAGAAATCAAGAGTCAGAAGCTTAACTGACTGAGCCAGCCAGGTGTCCCTGTACTGATGTATATTTTTATTCCATTAGTGACTAACAATAACTAACTAACACAATCCCTATTGCCCTATTCCTTCTTCTGTGCCCCACTTACATACTGTAGAATTTATTTTGTGGAAAGCTGTGATAGCTTTAAATAAAGAAACCTGTACTTTTTTGCTCTGAATATCATAATTATTTATTTTGGTTAAAAAGTATTATAGATTTTTTGAGGGCATCTCAATTTTTTTCAACAGAAAATCTTTTATAGACATCTGTGCCTTAAGCGGCAGTATATTCAGTGGTTTTAAACACACTAAGATGAATATTTCAGTTCTATAAATTACTAAGACATTGTTTATTCATCAATAAATAAGAATAGCAGTAATAACACTTGTCTCATAGAGATCTTGTGTCTATCAGAGTCAGTACTAAATAACATCTAGCTTTTCTTATTCAGAGGAATCAAAAGAATTGTACGTTTTACAATATTCTTCCCTTGTAAATTTGGTCAAACATTATTCGGCTAAATTGAATTTACAGAGCTGACTGAAAAAGGAAGTTTGTCAGGTAGGAAAAAGAAAAATGCAGATGAGAAATGAAATGAAAATGAGACAGACTCTCAGAAGTGAGTGGCAGTGGAAGGTCAAATTCATGCACACTTACGGAGCTGCCCAAGTCGGGCTTTTTCCTTTTTACCAAACAGACGTCCTATCGAAGACTTGATTCCTTTCTTCTTGGGGGCTTTGTGAAGAGAGTCTTGGCTGCTATTGGCACTGCCAAGCCCAAGGCTTTCTGGCTCAAGGGAGGCAGATAAACTACTGCAAAACACAAAAGAGGGCAGACTGCTCATCCACAAGGTACACAGAGTTGTTCCTTCATAAAGGGACAAATGAAAGAACAATTATTCTCTTCCTTTCCTCCTACATTTGCTCTTCATCATAGTGCTTTTTTTTTTCAGCCTTAGGGCCTTGGGCCTCCCAATTTTGTCTAGGAAAAAATGTTGTTCTACTTGATTTCCCCCATTATTTTCATACAATCAACGAACATAGGCTGGCTTATCAAATGCATGTTAAATGCCCATCCATTATTTAGCAAGTAACCCTTGACCTACTTCTATCTCAGAGTATGTTTTTTTAGTCTTAAACATAATGACCTATGATAAGACATTTAAATTGAATTAACAGTGAAGTTTAAGCTGTTATTCCAGCCCACAGCTTTACCTGATTTTCTTCCAGCCATTTTTAATTAAAAAATGTTTATTTATTTTATATCTATTTTTAAAGTTTATTTATTTTGAAAGAGCAAGTGAGAGAGAATGTAAGCAGGGATAGAGAAAGGGAGAGAGAGAATCCCAAGAGGGCTCCACATTCAGCTCAGAGCCTGACAGTGGGGTCCAATTTCAGAAACCCTGAGATCACAATTTGAGCCAATATGAAGAGCCGAATGCTTAACCACCTGAGCCACCAGGTGCCCAGTAGCTAACTATAGATGCACAGATCAATTAACAAACAAGGCAGTAGCAAATGAAGTAGCTTGATCTCTTCCTTTAAGAGAGATTAATGAGCAGTGAGGAAACCAGAAAAGAGGCAAATTTTTAATGGTTAACTTAGTTTGTGAAAGAAGAAAAATCTTAACCAGAAAAAAATTCTAGTTGGTATTGGCAGATTGTCACTGTTTTTATGAGATGCCTATTTCTCTTTTTTATATTAAGTTTTTAATTTTAATTCCAACATAGTTAACATGCAGTGTTATATTAGCTTCACGTGTACAATATAGTCATTCAACAACTCTATGTATTACTCAGTGCACCCTAAGTGTATTCTTTAATCCTTATCACCTATTTCACCCATCCTCCTACCCCTCCTCCTCTGGTAACCATCAGTTTGTTGTCTACAATTAAGAGCCTGTTTCTTGATTGTGTCTCTCTTTTTGTCCTTTGGTCATTTTAGTGTGTGTGTGTGTGTGTGTGTGTGTACCCACTTGTTCTTTTTTTAAAATTAAAAACCATTCAAAATTTATTTATCTATTTTGAGAGAGAGAAGGAGAGAGTGAATAGGGGAGGGACAGAGAGAGAATCCTAACCAGGCTCCACACTCACCATGGAGCCCAACGTGGGGCCTGATCCCACAACCATACCTTAATGACCTGAGCCATAATCAAGAGCCAACTGCTTAACTGAGCCACACAGGTGCCCCTTAAATGTTTCTTTGAGAGAGAGAGACAGAGAGAGAGCTCACCTGTGGGGCAAGGGCAGAGAGAGAGGGGGACAGAGGATCCAGAGTGGAATTTGCGCTGACAGCAATGAGCCTGATTCAAGGCTCAAACTCAGGAACCCTGAGATCATGACCTGAGTCGACTGAACCACCCAGGCACCCCAGTGCCACATTCATTTAATTTTAAATCATCTACGTGGGATTTAATAGCAAATACTCATGTGCTCTAGTGATCTCTTTGTTTTTTCTTATAGTTCTCAAGTATTCTTTTAGGTACATGATAAACTGAAATGATTTCCAAGCAGTTGCTCCGGACTCCATTCCTAGTCAATGTAACTGACACTGTATTAATAGGAGAGGTACAATAGATACATTGCTATCTATTCTAGAGCTGTTCATTTGACAACACCATGATGAATTACTTGACTTATTCATAGTCTTTAATGAGTTCACATTCTCTAAACTCCAAACCAACAGGTTTTCACATGTTAAAACATGAGTCCTTTTTCTAGGAGGATGAAAGCATATAGTTTGAAGCTGGAGTAACTGGGGTTTTACTTTCACATTTGAAATTAAAAATAAAAAAAAAAAAACAGAAAGGAACAAATGCCTGCCAGTACAGAACCTCTGTTTTTAAGCTATTTGTTGTAAAACTCATACTATTTAGAAGACACATTCTTACGTAAAGTATTAATACCAAGCCATTATACAGAGTCATGTCACTAATGTGTCTCAAGATGCTGAAATTGATAAGTTTGTGAAAGGACATATATTTAAGATGTGAACTGCACGCTTAGATTGTTTATGCTATGTATTATAGTGATCTGCTTGCAATTTTGTAGGCAGATGGAAAGCACCATAGGATGAGCCGCTATTACAAACAGGTATTTTAAATTTTAAATGTTTTTTTAAATGTCTTTTTTAAAATTTGTAATGTTTTTTAAAATTTATTTCTGAGAGAGAGGCAGCATGAGCAGGGGATGGAGGGTGAGAGAGAGAGGGAGACACAGAATCTGAAGCAGGCTCCAGGCTCTGAGCTAGCCATCAGCACAGAGCCCGACGCGGAGCTCGAACCCACGAACCGTGAGATCATGACCTGAGCCGAAGTCAGAAGCTTAACCGACTGAGCCACCCAGGCGCCCCCCACTCTTTCCTTTTCTTTTAACATTTTGGCAAGTATGCTTTATTTCCCCCCTCTAAGAACTTTCCGCTTGATTGTTATAGCTGTCAACACCAGCTCCTGGCGGAGTGGTGCACCTACCTATTTGCTAAAAGTAAATGAACTGCAATTATGGACTTTTCAGAACTTAATTACTTTCTAAAAAGTGTTTTATTTATGGGGGAGTGGCCCAAAGAAAGGGAGAGAGAGAATCCCAGGCAGGCTCCATGCTCAACACAGAGTCCTGTCTCACCACCATGAGATCATGACCTGAGCTAAAATTAAAAGTCAGATGCTCAACCCACTGAGCACCCAGGTGTCCCCTAGACCTTACTTTTGCACATAAGCCAAATGTATAGTCCTGTCCTAGGATCCTTTAAGTTTTTTGTTATTCTTCCCAGTAAGTCCTTCCATTAGCCTGATTTCATTTTAGTACTAAATATCCACTAAAAATAGAAGAGCTTATCTCATCAACATCGGCTAGTAATAACACCACAAATACATGGTTAATTTTAAAACTAAAAATTTGATCTCAGAATGTAATTTTTTTCTCACAAAAGAAGAGGGGAGAGGGAGCAGGGCAGTACTCTACTGGAGAGTTATAGCTCAAACCAAATTTCTCATATAAATTTTTAAGTAGTCTATTTAATGGCACTCAAAGAAAGGGGAATACTTTCAGAAGGAGAGCATGCAATGAGATGCGAGCTGCAAGAATCATACCTTCGGGCATCATTGTGGTAGGAGGAGGGAAGGGTGTGAGTCATTCTGATGGCTCTAGGTGTGGGGGGAGGAGAAGTTTCACATTTTATTGTTGCTTTATCCTCCCGACCATCTTCTTCCACCACTGCAATCTAGAAGGGAAAACAACACATTCAGATGAATTCTTTCTAGATTTCAAATGAAAATTACAGAAAAAGAGAACACTCAAGTAGCAAGGCTACTTGAGTAATTCTAATATAAACACAAAACCAAAAAATGTGGGGCATATAGTCTTAACATATAAATTCGTATTATTGAAGCATGTGAGTTTAATAACTGTTTTTAAAAGTGAAGTCTTCCACTTTAAAACAAAACACGGACACATTTCAAAAAAAATATTATTTAAGAGTAAATAAGCACCATGGATCAATATCCAGGGACCATGAAAAAGCTTTCATGGAATACATTTCAATATATCAGAACACATAGGCTTTACAAAAAGTTACTGGACACATATTTGAGTTAACTCACTAAGAAAGTATGCATAGTCAGGTTATTATAACATGGACATCTTTTAAGTAGATTTTAAAACAAATGTTTATGTTTGAGAGACAGAGCATGAGCAGGGAAGGGGCAGAAAAAGAGGGAGACCCAGAATCCAAAGCACGCTCCAGGCTCTGAGCCGTCAGCACAGAGCCTCACACCCGGCTCCACCTCAACAAGCCTTGAGATCATGACCTGAGCCAAAGTCCGATGTATTAACTGACTGAGCCACCCAGGCACCGCTTAAGTAGATATTTTGAAATGAGAAGAGAAGATGGCAAAACTACAACTTTATCAGATAAAGGGTGTTAACTCAGGCAAATGAAATGTGGTACAGATGTTTAAAAACTAAATTGCAGCTTATTAGAAAAAACTTCTTTTTAAAGTAAGGATTATAAAAGGTAAAAACAAAAACATAAATAAAACTGTTTCATTTAACTACTTCCCATGGGAACACAGACAAAAGCATCTGGAAACCAGAAGATGGGATGGAAGGGCTTTCTTTAAAGAATTTAGTTCAGAGGCACCTGGCTGGCTTAGTAAGTTAAGCATTCGACTTTGGCTCAGGTCATGAAATCTCAGTTTGTGAGTTTGAGCCCCACATGGGGGCTTTGTGCTGACAGCTCAGAGCCTGGAGTCAATTTGGATTCTGTGTCTCCCTCTATCTCCACTCCTCCCTCACTCATACTCTGTCTTTCTCTCCCTCAAAAATAAATAAGCATTAAAAAAAAGAATTTAGTTCAGAGTCCAGAGCAATTCAAGATACTACAACATTTGTGAGAGACAGACGTATAAAACTACATTAAAGACTTTTCAATGGTAAAGTAGATTGTAAAGACATTATTTACAACAATTCTGCATTGTTTTTCATGGCATCACTGTGCAGTAAAATGCCTATACATAGAAAGATTGTGGAAAGCACAGCTAATAGATATGGTTCTGGAAGTTCTGATGACAAAGGGTTAGCAATATGGCTACAGCATAGCTCTGTTTTCATCTTACGTCTCCATAATGACTTGCTTTGTTTTCTATGTTAGGCTATTATGCATAAATGTGTTTATATATGATACATGACAAAGACTTTATGCATTGATGAAACAATTAAATTGTCTGTCTGTGCTCTTGTCATCCAAGCCTTGATTACTTTTACCCATTTAAGTGGGCATCTTTATAGGATTTCCTCTCTCCATTTCAACTAGCATAGTGTCACCAGAAGACTTCTTCAAGAACTACTTTCAGCATGATGTTAATCCTATGGAAAACTCTTTCTAAATACATATCTCATCTAAACTCCTAAGGTGTGTTTCCAAACTCTTCCTGATATGTATTTACGTCTTCACAGTTCCATGATCTAGCTATAATTGTTTTCTATGATTATTTCTGCCAAGCCTGACCTTTCTGCTTCCATTACTTTTTTTCTCCTGAAACACCTCCTAACATGCCTTCCTCTCTCCACGCTGCCAGCCAAACTAAGCCAACTTTCCAAATATCAGCTCTTAAAAACATCATACACACTGTTCCTCTGAGTAATGCTTAGAGTTTACATTACAGAAATAAAATAAAGGAGAAAGGATTTGGATCAGAGATGGATTTGAATTCTGGTTTCTCTTATGTGTTGAAAGACATGTGCATATTATTTACCTGCTCCAGGATTCAATTTCCTCATAAGTAAAATGGAAGTAATAATACTTATCCTAATGTGTTTTCTTCAAGGGTAAATGGAATCACACTTGTAACTCCTTAGCCTGATATACAATTTTTAGTTTGTGGTCTTTTTTCCATGACCTACCTTTCTTATCAACCATTTCTTCACCCTGTGAATTCCCTAAGCCTCCATTTCTGTATGGAACCTTCTTTTGTGACTTTTTTCTTATATCTACTAAGCTTATTTTACAACCATCATCTACTCAGACTTCTTTTCATATTCCCAGTATAATTCTTTTATCTGGTAGAGGAAGTCAAAGACAAATAAGAATTATGATGGTAAATTTGACACTTAAGAAACAACTGGTAGTATCAAGGAGAAGATGCTATAGAAAGATAGATGATTACTCAAGAAAAGAAATGTCATCAATCTATGCCACACAAGCATAACATAGATTCCCTTAATTTAAAAGAGAGACAAAGAAAAAATTGTTTTATAGTTCTAGAAGTGTTTGGGCATAGTCTACCACATCTTGATAATGTTGAAAAAATAGATTTATGCACTGGAGAGTAGGTTGAACCTTTGAAATCTTTCCTATCTGATTATCCCATGAGTCTGAACTCTGCTGTTATCAATTATCTAAGAAGATGTCATTTTGTGAACAGAACTGTAGTCAATTTTGTTTTTCATTTCCAATATGTATTCTACTGATGTCACATTAAACAAGAAGGTAGCAGATTATTTATATTTTCATAATTTCTATATTCTTGATGCTCTGGTGTCTGGCACCATGCTGACCCAGGACAGAATGCTCCTCCCAGGACTAGCTAATTCCTAGAGATTGCAAACTACTTCCCTGGAGTGTGTCTTTCATAGGCACATCAATCAACCTAGACCAGTATCCCAAATCATATTCTCGATCTGGCTCTTCTGATACTCCGGGAGGCAATATTCCTCTGCCTTAATCCTCCCAGACCAGGAATCAGACAACTAGAGATAGTCCCTATACCCAGAACCCACGCAAATGATTAGAATAAACCAATCTTAAGCCTGCTAAACCTGCCTTTCTTTTCCAACAGACCACAATAAAACTCCTACCTATCCTTTCTCCTGGCTGTTTTTGCCTCATAACCTACTCTGGTGCTTCCTTTGCTTTGCATAGCATGGTGTGCCCTCTCCTCTTGGGAAGGGTGAGTAACAAGCTATCTTTTCATTGGCAATAGTCTCCTGATCTGCTGGTCTCACATACCTGAATAATAGTAAAACTACATTTAAAAATAAGTGGCAATATTCTAGCATTGACAATAAATAATCTAATTCTAGGATATTTAGACTATATAATCTAATCATTACCCTAGGAAGCATAAACAGTTTTATTTTGAGGCATTTGCTCTTATAATAACATTTTAAAAATTCAATAATGCTTAAATACTTTTAATATTTCTGTTTATATTAATAAAATGCCTCAACTACAGGGAATACAATTTTAAGGCTTTCACAGAAAAAAACAATATTCTAGAAGTAGTCATACAAAAGATATTTACTTTACCTTTCTCCGATGTTTCCTTAGATCACTTGGCTGTGATTGGCAGTAATAAAAGCAACATAAAACAGAACTAATTAATAAGTACCATATGACCACATTACAAGTTTTAATAGTATCCTATAACTTGACTGTCTTGTTTTTTCATTTCATTATTTTCTAAATAAGTGCCTTTATCCATTATAAAAGGGCTCCTCCTGAGAGTGACTTCAGAGAGGGAATTCTTAGATGGAATGGGAGGATGGGCACGTCTACATGACGGGGTCAAACATACATGCATGGGATCTGGAACCCTAGGGAATATGAAGCACATATAGAGTGAGCTAGCCAGAAGTAAGTATGGAACTACATCTTCCCCCCAAGATATAAATGGGAATGAAAGAGATTATCTATAAACAAAGATCTAATGCACATATATGGAGTTTGTAAACATTACCTTTTGCCTTACCTATGCAGAGCCTTGATCCACCCTTGGACAGGCATGCTATGCCTGAGCTATGTCTAACTTCCTGGCATCCTAACTAGTCTCCAGTCCCAAATGCCAATAGCTCTGGCCTCAGTATAATATGTTTCTAGGGCTACCGTTTTCTTGTCAATGTGCTTTTACAGAATTTTTTTCAAGTTAAGTCTTAATGATTTCAGATGAATCTTATTCACTTAATATCTTTGTTAATTTTTCTTACGTAAGTAAAACAATTTTATTCTATTATAGTAATATTTACATTTATATATTTTTGCTATTCCTGGAAAATGAGTTGATTTACTCCACACAATATTCTAACTAAACATCAGTAGGATGTTCTTTATGCTTCTGGATTTGTGGTGAGGTAAAAGTAAATAAAAGCACATTTTATAATCAGAACAAACAACAATGTTTGTAAAACATATAAACACATACAATACAAATGAATACAATATCTTTCCAAAATCTAATTTTCTATCTCCCAATTTTTTCATTGAATATTCAGAGGAAATTTGGGATGATATTCCACAACATTATGCCCCCCTCACATTTTCTACAGGTAAAAGAAAATTCACCTGCCTTTCACCATAACAGTGATGAATTTAATGACCAAGTTTTATTAGGTGATAAGGACTTCCTGAATTTGTTTATTGTTTTTCTGAGTCAGACATTTTAAGTACTTTTTTACCCTCAAGAAATGTTTTCAACATTTTTTTAGGTACTGTAATTACAGTGTAATAATGTTCATTTACCATTGATGTATTTATGGCTAATTGCTAAAGAAAATGTAGGAAAGCAGTGTCATCTCTTTCACATATATGAAAACATCATGTCTAAATGATTAAAAATATATTATTTTGTGGGGCGCCTGGGTGGCTCAGTCAGTTAAGTGTCTGACTTTGGCTCAGGTCATGATCTCACAGTTCATGGGTTTGAGCCCCGCATCAGGCTCTGTGCTGACAGCTAGCTTGGAGCCTGGAGCCTGTCTTCAGATTCTGTGTCTCCCTCTCTCTCTGACCCTCCCCTGCTCACACCGCCTCTCTCTCTCTCAGAAATAAGTAAGAAAAACATTTTAAAAAATTAAAATATATATATATTATTTTGTTATAATAATAATAACACTATCAAGGATTAGGATGCTAATGTTTATGAAAATACTTAAAAGAGCAAACTACTATGTTGCAAAAATGTAAGGACAAATAGCAGGACAGAAACAACCAAAGTTTCCTTGCCTTGAATGCTGACTAACTTATGTGGGCAAAAATTCTTACTGTAGCTTTGATAATAAATAAGTCATCAAACATATGTAGCAAATATAAACAGAACTAAGCCGAAGACAGTATCATGTTCAGTTAATAAAGTCAAATTGATGGTTCTTAGATTTCTAAAATTAGCAGATTATAATGTAGCTCAGTATATTGGGCAGTATCTCAGTACATTGACTAACACATTTGTGCTATGTCTAGGTGGGGTCAGTTCTGATTCAGTGTCCTTTGTTCTGATTGGGCATTGTCTATGATGTCTATTTTAAGAATACTTTTAATATCAAGTCTAGAAATGAGCACAGAATAGGGGACTCAATGTCTTAAGAAGATAAAATCTTTCCTTTTTTTGAAAATTTTGCCATTTCTCTTTTATGTTGACTTTATTGCATTGAAGTCCATAACTGGAGAGTCTGAATATGAAAAATGCTGCCACACCATATAAATAGTTTACTGGTTCAATTCACAATTGTAAAATTAAAGAAAAATGTATTTATACACAATACATTTTATAAAAATTAAAATTAAAAAAATATCTTTGTTTTCCCTAGAGGTGCGAGTGTGATGTGTGTGTGTGTATGTATATTTTTATTAGCTACAATATACATTTTTGCAGCATATTTATTTAAAATTGCTATTTAGAAAATGAAACAAAATTTTTTGTTCAGCTATTTTACACACATACATACACAGATATATTGTGACACTTTGTATAGCAGCTTCATAGCTTCCTGAATATATGCAGACACACTATATACACTTCATTTCTTCTGTAGTATCATTAATTTCTTCTCTATTTGTTGTATTTGTGCTAGTGTCACTGTATATAAGCTATTATTTGATTTATTTATTTTTACCTAATTTATATTCCCAAATTATGTTTAATTGGAATTTCATTGTTTTCATAGTATAGTTTTAATATTCATTACAAAAACAGAATTTTACCTTCATAAATAGTTTAGAACGTTTAAATCTTCATTATAATCATTTAAACATAGTTTTAGGTAATCATAGAAAAAACAGAGAATGGTATATGCTTTTGCATTACCAAACTTGAAAAAAATACAGCTCCATTTACTGTGTTGAACGTGGGCAATTTACTCAAGCTCTCAAACCCCAGTTCTGTTTTCTATTGAAATAGTGTCCTCTGACTTGCAGATGTTATAATGCGAAGTAAATGACTAAAGATCATAGTATTCAGCAATCATTCCTATCATTTTATCCAGAGGTTTTTCTACATTAGTTTTATCAAAGGGCACTTTGATTTTCTCTGTTATGTTCAGCACACCTCCTAATAATTTAGGTTTCCAACTTTTAATTCCTAACAATTTAGGATTCCAACTTTTAATTCTAAATATAAAAATAAGTGAAAGAAAGGATTAAAGAATAAAGAAGTGTAAAAACTGTTGACATAAAATTCTAAAACAAAATTGGAGAATTTTTGCTGTTGGTTTTGGTGGTTCTTTTTATTAAAATTATATTATTTATATTATAAAATTTTAACATTCTATGTAGTTATACTGGAGCAATCAGAATCAATATTTTTTGTTATTTATTGTGTTAAAAGTAAAATACCCAGTCTCAATTTACTTCATCAAGATATCATCAGGAAAAATTTACTTAATGGTTTAAGTCATTCAGATTTCTCATGTGATATTCAGATTGCTGCTCTTCTATTTCCTTATTATGTGACTTCGGAAAATTACATCTTTGTAGGCTACATTTCCTCAACTCATAATGGGATTAATAGTTGCACCTACCATATACGGTTGTTGTGAAAAAAAGAAAAACAAGAAAACACAAAGAAAGTCCTTAGAATAAATACCCAATAAGAATCAGCCAATGTACCATGAATCTTAATGGGGGCAAATGTTCTCTGTGCACATCATCATACCAGTGTCATGACTCCCATCCGATCCATTTCTCTGGCAGGACTTCGCGGGGTGAGCTTTGGCGTTGAGTGTCCACTGGGGGGAGATGAGCTGGCCAGCGAAGAAGCTGTAACAGAGGCAGTGATAGAGGTACCTGGGTGGACCCTTGCTAAATTCAGGCCTTCCAGGCTCACACTAGCCACTCTGTTCTCAATTTCTTCAGCACGTAACTCTGTAGATTCTTTCTCTTCCTGAATTAGCCTAAAAGAGACAGTTGAATTAGGATCCATTATATGCTGCTATAGTGGTAACTAGAATTCACTAAATAAATAAATAAATAAATAAATAAATAAATAACTCTGTGAGTATTTTATATCAAATCTAATGCTTTCTTTACTCTAAGGCAATATAACTTTTTTTTACTTAATCAGTTTATTGTCAAGTTGGTTTACATATAACACCCAGTGCTCATCCCAACAAGTGCCTTCCTCCATGCCCATCACCCCCTTTCCCTCTCCCCCACCCTCATCAGCCTTCAGTTTGTTCTCAGCATTCAAGAGTCTCTCACCGTTTGCCTCCCTCCCTCTCCCCAACTATTTTCCCCCTTCTTCTCCCCCATGGTCCTCTGTTTGTTTCCTCCTAATCCACAAACATATGTACAAACATATGGTTTCTGTCCTTCTTTGCCTGACTTATTTCGCTCAGCATAACACCCTCTAGTTCCATCCATGCTGCTACACATGGCCAGATTTCATCCTTTCTTATTGCCATGTAGTATTCTATCGTATAGACAAACCACATCTTCTTGATCCATTCGTCACTTGATGGACATTTAGGCTCTTTCTATGTTTTGGCTATTGTTGAGAGTGCTGCTGTGAACATTGGGGTACATGTGCCCCTATGCATCAACACTCCTGTATCCCTTGGGTAAATTCCTAGCACCGCTATTGCTGGGTCATAGGGAAGTTCTATTGTTAATTTTTTGAGGAACCTCCACACTGTTTTCCAGAGGGGCTGCACCAGTTTACATTCCCACCAACAGTGTAGGAGGGTGTAAGGCAATATAACTGTTAATAAATTCCAGAGACTTTCTGGCTGAAATTTAGAAAATCGTTCTTTTCAAATGTTATACAGCCTCCACACTTTCAGTTTGACCCTCTTTCTATCTATACTATCACCTGCTAAAACTTTTAAAACTTTGTCTGCCTAGATAATTTTGACACTAATCCTAATCTTACTTTTGAACTGAGGTGCCAATAAATGAGACTTTTAGAAACTCAGATCCTAACAAAGATGCTGAATCTTACCTCCCAACTGATGGAAAAGTATAATTGATAGAATCTTCAATAAATGGTCATTCATAATTATCATTTGGTCAAATAAATCTCTGAGACTTTTTTTAAAAACCAATAACCTGCTCAGCCAAGTCAACTTTAAATAAGCACCAGGCAGGGTGTTTGGGTGGCTGTTGGTTGAACTCCCAACTTTGGCTCAGCTCATCATCTCATGGTTCATGATTTCAAGCCCCATATCTGTGCCTCAAATCAGGCTCGCTCCTGCCATCCCAAAGCCCACTTTGGATCCTCTCTCTCTCTCTCTCTTTCTGCCCCTTCCCCACTCTCTCTTTTTAAAAAATAAACAAACATTAAAAATATAAATAAGCACCAGGCAATTTAATAATGTGGAGGTGATCTATGTCTAGATAGATATATACATCATACTAACAAACATAGTGAAAAAAATATTTTAACTGTTGATAATGCTTTTGAGAAGACAAAGCACTACTACTCCCTTTTCTTTAAATAAAAAGAAGCTTCAAGAATATGTATAAGTGAGATGCAAAGAACAAAGAGCTTTAGCTGAGTTGCATAAGTATCTTATTTAAGCTGTATCTACACACATTATGCACATTGTTATAATGAAACTGTGTGCCAATAGTTGATTTAAAAATTAGGGATTAGAACCTCTCCTAAGACATTTTTCTGTTAACTATAAATGGCTTATTGTGATCTCCTAGGACATATAACCTTTAACTATAAAGTTATAATCACTACAAAGTTTTATTTTTTTATATTTACTTTGGAAAACTGCTTGTGGTTTCTTATAGAACTGAACATACTCTTACCATATTATCTATTTGTGTTCTTAGTATTTACCTAAATGAGTTAAAAACTTATGTCCACACAAAACCAGCACAGATGTTTATAGCAGCTTTATTCATGATTGCTATAATTTGAAAGCAACCAAGATTTTCTTCAATGGTGAATGGATAAATTTAGTTTATCCAAACAATGGAATGTTTGGTACATCCAAACAATGGAATATTGTTCAGAGCTAAAAAGAAATGAGCTATCAAGCCATGAAGAGATATGGAAGTACATTAAATGCATATGACTAAATAAAAGAAGCCAATCTAAACAGACTACATATTGTATGATTCCAATTACATGACACTCTAGGAAAGACAAAACCTATAAGGACAGTAATGAGATCGATGGTTGACAGAGGTGGGGGTGGGGAAAGAGATGAACAGGTAGAGTACAGAGAATTTTTATGTCAGTGAAAACGTTCTGTATGAAACCATAATGATGGATACTTGTCATACATTTTGCAAACGCACAGAATGTACACCACTAAGAATAACCTGTACTGTAAACAATGGAATTTGGGTGATTAATATGTGCCATATAGGTTCATCAATTATACTACTCTGGTGAAGGATGTTGATAATGGGGGAAGTTGTGTGCAAGGCCAGGGGATATATGGGAAATCTCTGTACCTTCTTTTCCCCAACTTTGTGTGAACCTTAATAAGCTCCAAAAATTTACAGGCTCGGCGGCAAGATGGCAGAGAAGTAGGGAGCTCGTTCATTTTGCTGGCACCCATCTCTCAAACAGAGAAGGCCTGAAGCCATAGGACACTGAGCTGCAGGAGTTTGGGAAGAGAAAGGGACAGAGCACAATGGAAAGGCAACCTCATAAGTGTGTGAGTGAGAACTGGGGAAGATAAAAGTGGACAGGGACCACAGACACGGAGGGAGGGGAGGCAGCTTGCCTGGCTTGAGAGCCAGCCCGGCTCCAGCTGAGTCGCGGGGAAAAGAAAGTGAAGCTGCAACTGCTCATAGAACCGTACCTGGAGAAGAGAAAAACCCTGGCTTGGGAAGAGGGTGTTTTTAGTTCTAGCTAGGGTGCTGACTTTGAACTAGGTGCCCCCGGTCCTACAGGGCACCAGGGAAAACTGCTCTGCTGAGCTCCCGGCACCATCCCCGGCAGCGCAGAGGCTGCAGGCCTGAAGCTGTGTTCCCCAGGATTGACTCCCTGCAACCCTGAGGCGGTGGGCTGAGGCTGAGTTACCTGGACTTGCCCCGGCAGCCCGAAGGCAGCAGATCCCAGGTTGTGCCCCAGCGGATCTGAGGCTGCACCACTCCCCCACCTTCCCCCACCCCTTGACCTGGGGCAGCAGAGAAGCAGTGACCTGCGGGACTGTGTTTCAGGCGGTATCAATAAAGCACGTGGACTGGGACCTGGAAGTGAGGCAGGGCGTGGGCATAGAACTCAGCTCAACTTGGCCACGCCCACAGCACAGGGAGATCGGACCCAAAGGAGTGATTTGCAAGGCTTGGTTGGAGAAGGGACTGAGGCACTGCCATTTTTCTCCCCACAACTACCAAGGTGGTGCCTCAGGGAGTCCCCTGCTGGCGGGACACAGTGGAGGCTAAGACCTGCCTACATCAAACCACGCCATCCCTGCCAGAGAGCTGCTTTTTTTTTTTTTTTTTAACCTGAGCCCGGGGCAAGACCAACATGGATGCACTGCCATGTTTAATCCTAGATAATTCTTTCTATTCAGATATATTCTCCCTTTTCTCATTTGTAACCCTCTACTCTGCTGGTTGGGGCACTCTGGTCACTGGTTTGCTTAAACAGTCACATTTAATCCATTCTCTAGATGTATATTTTACACCTCCACTGCTACCTTTTTAGTTTTCTCTCTCTGGAGTAATCAGACTGTATCGTTTCTCTGAGTAACATCTTCATTTCTTTCTCATCGCCTCTAAACATATTCTATGATTTCTCCCTCTGAATCAAGCCTCTTAGTCTCTCTGCCTGGTCATTTCATTTCCAATTTCTCTTCCTCCCCGCCCTGTCATTTCTCTTTATATATGCTCTTCCATCAGCACTGCATACACCTGGCTCTTTATTTGTAGCTGAAAATCCTGGTTTTATGCCTTTAGAATGTCCTTTGTCTTTGGGTTTATTCTTTTTTCTTTTCTTTTCTCCTTTTTTAAAATTTTTTATTTTTATTACTTGTCTTCCCTCCTTCCTCTTTTTTTTTTCTTTTTTGTTTTGTTTTGTTTTTTGTCCCTTCCCTTTTTTTCTTTTTCTCTTCTGGTTTGCGTGTTTGTTGGATTTGTCTGTGTGTTTGTGTACCTTTGTTCCCTGTGTGTTTGTCTGTTTTCCAGGGCTACCTCAAGAAACAAGCCAAAGTACACATGGTGGAGAGTCCCAAATACCATTATGAATAGGGAAATAAAATAAACAAAATCTCAACAAGAGAAACCAAGAGACATCATTTAAAGAACACTTCCTGAACGGACAGCCCCTGGACAGTCATAGAGCACTCTTTAATACAGAAGCATCCATAGGTGCAGAGCACATAAACTTTTAAAATAACAAGACATAGAAAGCTAACCAAAATGAAGAAACGGAAGGACTCTCTTCCAAAGAAATTCCAGGAAGAAATGACAGCTAAAGAACTGCTCAAAACAGATATAAGCAATGTAACTGAACAAAAATTTAAAACAATAGTCATAAAATTAATCGCTGGGCTTGAGAAAAGTATTGAAGACATCAGAGAAGCTATTGCTACAAAGACTATGGAGATTAAAAATAGTTGTGATAAATTTAAAAATACTATAAATGAGATACATAATAAAATGGAGGTGTCCAATGCACAGACTGAAGAGGCAGAAAGAAGAATAAGTGATTTAGAAGACACAATTATAGAAAAAGAGGAAGCTGAGAAAAAGAGAGATAAACTGATCCAGGAACATGAAAGAAGAGTTCAAGAGCTCAGTGATACAACCAAACGGAACAATATCCATATCATAGGAATTCCAGAAGAGGAAGAGAGAGGGAAGGGTGCTGAAGGAGTCCTGGGACAAATTATAACAGAGAACTTCCCCAACTTGGGGAAGGAAGTAAACGTTGAAATACAAGAGGCACAGAGAGCTCCCCTCAGATGTAACTTGAATTGATCTTCTGCATGACATATCATAGTGAAACTGGCAAAATATAAGGACAAAGAGAGAATTTTGAAAGCAGCTAGGTATAAAAGGGCCCTAACATACAAAGGTAAACGTATCAGAGTGGTTACAGACCTATCTACTGAAACTTGGCAGGCCAGAAAGGAATGGCAGGAAATCTTCAATGTGATGAACAGAAAAATATGCAGCCAAGAATCCTCTATCCAGCAAGCCTGTCATTCAGAATAGAAGGAGAGATAAAAGTCTTTCCAAATAAACAAAAATTGAAAAAATTTGTCACCACTAAACCAGCCCTACAAGAAATCCTGAGGGGGACTCTCTGAGGGAAATGTTACCAGAGACACCACCACAAGCATGAATCCCACAAAGGACACAATGACTCTAAACCCATATATTTCAATAATAACACTGAATGTAAATGGACTGAATGCTCTAATCAAAAGACATAGGGTAGCAGTATGGATAAAAAAAAACAAAATCCATCTATATGCTGTCTGCAAGAAATGCATTTTAGACTGGAGGTCACCTTCAGATTGACAGTAAGGGGATGGAGAAATGTATACCATGCTACTGGAAGTCAAATGAAAGCTGGAGTAGCTATACTTATATCAGACAAACTGGACTTTAAAGTAAAGACAGTAACAAGAGATGAAAAATGGCATTATATTATAAATAGAGGGTATATCCATCAAGAAGAGCTAGCAATTATAAATGTCTATGCACCGAATATGGAAGCACCTAAATATATAAAACAATTAATCACAAACAGAAACAATCTTATGGATAAGAATGTGCTAATAGCAGGGGACTTTAATACTCCACTTACAGTGACGGATAGATCAACTAGACAGAAAGTCACTAAAGAAACAATGGACTTGAATGACACATTGGGCCAAATGGATTTGACAGATTTATTTAGAACTCTACATCCTGAGGCCATGGAATTCACTTTCTTCTCAAGTGCGCATGGCACATTCTCCAAGATAGATCACATACTGGGACATAAAGCAGTCCTCAATAAATATAAAAGAACTGAGATCATACCATGCACACTTTCAGATCACAATGCTATGAAATTTGAAATCAATCACTGGAAGAAGTCTAGAAACCCCCAAAAACATGGAGGTTAAAGAACATCTTACTAAAGAACGAATGGGCCAATCAGGCATTTAGAGAACAAATAAAAAAATATATCGAAACAAATGAAAATGAAAATACAAGAATTCAAACTCTATGGGATGTGGCAAAGGTAGTCCGAAGAGGAAAGTACATTGCACTCCAGGCCTATTACAAGAAATTAGAAAAAGCTCAAGTACAAAATCTAAGAGCTCACCTAAAGGAACTAGAGGCAGAGCAACAAGAGCACCCCAAACACAGTAGGAGAAGAGAAATAATAAAAATCAGGGAGAAATAGACAATACAGAAACCAAAAAACAAACAAACAAACAAAAACCAGTTGAACATATCAATGAAACCAAGAGTTGGTTTCTTGAAAACATAAACAAAATTGACAAACCTCTAGCCAGGCTTCTCAAAAAGAAAAGAGAGAGCACCCAAATAGACAAAATCATGAATGAAAAAGGACTTATTACAACCAACCCCTCAGAAATACAAGGAATTATCTGGGAATACTACGAAAAACTATATGCCAACAAACTAGACAATTTAGAAGAAATGGACAAATTCCTAAACATACACTCACTACCAAAATTCACATGGGAAGAGATAGAAAATCTGAACAGACCCATAATTAGTGAGGAAATCAAATCAGTTATCAATAATCTCCCAAAAAATAAGAGCCCTGAGCTTGATGGCTTCCTTGGGGAATTCTACCAGACATTTAAAACAGAATTAATACCCATTCTTCTCAAGGTATTCCAAAAAATGGAAATCGAAGGAAAACTTCGACTCATTTTACAAAGCCAGCATCACTTTGATTCCCAAGCCAGACAGAAACCCAGCAAAAAAAAGAGAACTACAGGCCAATATCCTTGATGAATATGGAAGCAAAAATCCCCAACAAGATACTTGCAAATCAAATCCAACAGCACATAAAAAGAATTATCCACCATAATCAAGTGGGATTCATTCCTGAGTTACAGGGCTCGTTCAATATTCACAAATCAATCAATATGATACATCACATTAACAAAAGATAAAAACCATAGGATCCTATCGCTAGATGCAGAAAAAGCATTTGACAAGATACAGCATCCCTTCTTAATAAAGACTCTCAAGAAAGTCAGGATAGAACGAACTGACTTAAACATCATAAAAGCCATCTATGAGAAGTCCTCAGCTAACATCATCCTCAATGGGGAAAAAATGAGAGCTTTCCCCCTGAGATCAGAACATGACAGGGATGTCCACTCTCACCACTGTTGTTTAACATAGTGCTGGAAGTCCTAGCATCAGTAATCAGACAACAAAAGGAAATAAAAAGCATCAGAATTGGTAAAGAAAAAGTCAAACTTTCACTTTTTGCAGACAACATGATACTGTACATAGAAAACCCAACAGACTCCACCAGAAGCCTACTAGAACTGATCCATGAATTAAGCAATGTTGCAGGATACAAAATCAATGTACTGAAACCACTTGCATTTTTATACACCAATAAGGAAGCAACAGAAAGAGATATCAAGAAACTGATCCCATTCACAATTGCACAAAAAACCATAAAATACGTAAGAATAAACCTAACCAAAGATATAGGATATCTGTATGATGAAAACTATAGAAAACTTATGAAGGAAATTGAAGATACAAAGAAATGGAAAAACATTCCATACCCATGGATCGGAAGAATATTGTTAAAATGTCATTACTACCCAAAGCAAGCTACACATTCAATGCAATCCCAATCAAAATTGCACCAGCATTCTTCTCAAAACTAGAAAAAACTATCCTAAAATTTGTATGGAACCACAAAAGACCCAGAATAGCCAAAGTAATAATGAAGAAGAAAACCAAAACAGGAGGCATCACCATCCCAGACTTTAACCTCTACTGCAAAGCTGTTATCATCAAGACAGTATGGTATTGGCACAAAAACAGACACATAAACCAATGGAATAGAATAGAGAACTCAGAATTGGACCCACAAATGTATGGCCAACTAATATTTGACAAAGCAGGAAAGCGTATCCAATGGAAAAAAAGATAGCCTCTTTAACAGATGGTGCTGGAAGAACTGTACAGCATCATGCAGAAGAGTGAAACTGCATCACTTTCTCACAAATTCCTAAACAAACACTCACTACCAAAATTCACACGGGAAGGGACAGAAAATCTGAACAGACCCATAACTAGTGAGGAAATCGAATCAGTTATCAAAAATCTCCCAACAAATAAGAGCCCTGGGCCAGATGGCTTCCCTGGGGAATTCTACCCAAAAATTTCATACACAAAAATAAACTCAAAATGGATAAAGGGCTTGGATGTGAGACAGGAAACTATCAAAACCCTAGAGGAGAAAGCAGGAAACAACCTCCTTGACCTCAACTGCAGAAATTTCTTCCTTGACACATCCCGTAAGGCAAGGGAATCAAGAGCAAAAATAAACTACTGGGGACTCATTAAAATAAAAAGCTTCTGCAAGGCAAAGAAAACAATCCATAAAACTAACAGGCAAATGACGGAATGGGAAAAGATAGTTGCAAATGACATATCAGATAAAGGGTCAGTATCCAATATCTGTAAGGAACTCCTCAAACTCCACACCCGAAAAACACATAATCCAGTGAAGAAATGGGTAGAAAATATGAACAGACACTTCTCCAGAGAGGACATCCAGATGGCCAACAGGCACATGAAACGATGCTGAGCGTCCCTCCTCATCAGGGAAATACACATCAAAACCACACTGAGATTCCACCTCATGCCGGTCAGAGTGGCTCAAATGAACAAATCAGGAGACTCTAGATGCTGGCAAGGATGTGGAGAAACAGGCACCCTCCGATACTGTTGGTGGAAATGTAAGCTGATGCAGCCCCTCTGGAAAACAGTGTGGAGGTTCCTCAGAAAATTAACAATAGAACTCCCCTATGACCTAGAAGTAGCACTGCTAGGAATTTACCCAAGGGATACAGGAGTGCTGACGCATAGGGGCACATGTACCCCAATGTTCATAGCAGCATTCTCAACAGTAGCCAAATCATGGAAAGAGCCTAAATCTCCATCAACTGATTAATGGATCAAGAAGATGTGGTTTATGTATACAATGGAATACTACATGGCAATGAGAAAGAATGAAATATGGCCATGTGTAGCAACATGGATGGAACTTGAGGGTGTTATGCTGAGCGAAATAAGTCAGGCAGAGAAGGACAGAAACCATATGTTTGCACATATAGGTGGATTAGGAGGAAGCTAACAGAGGACCATGGGGGAGTAGAAGGAAAACAATAGTTGGGGAGAGGGAGGGAGGGAAACGGTGAGAGACTCTTGAATGCTGAGAACAAACTGAAGGCTGATGGGGGTGGGGGAGAGGGGAAGGGGGCTGATGGGCATGGAGGAGGGCACTTGTTCCGATGAGCACTGGGTGTTATATGTAAATCAATTTGACAATAAACTATTTAAGGAAAAAAATAAGTTCCAAAAATTTAAATTGAAAAATTGAGGCACATTTACTCTTTTCTAAAAATATAATTTATTGTCAAATTGGCTTACATACAATAGCCAGTGTTCATCCCAACAAGGAGGCACATTTTCATTTGTAACCTACGTATGTTTCATAGATTGTCCTAATTTTATCCATACAGACATGTATGGATATCCTAAGAATCTTGTGAAAATGCACATTCTGATTCAGTGTAGTGTGAGGTCTAAGAGTCTGCAGTTCTAACAAGCTCCCAGGTGTTGCCTGTGTTTCTGATCCAATTATGACATTTTTAAGATCAAGGTCTTCTAATCTCTTAAAACCATCAGTGGTAACTGAACTCACCTGATTTCTTTGTTGATGGCGTCCAATTGTTCTTGAAGCATCATGGCTAGAGTCTGGGCATCAGAATGACCACTTGGAGAGAGAAGATCCATTGAACTAAAAATAGTTTCTCTGTCATCATCATCAATATCAGACATTTCAGTGTCACTTTCAAAAGGGTGGCTGCTTAGCACTCCAATTTGCTGAGTTCTATTCCACTCATGATCCCCAAGAGATTTCACCTGAATGGCGAATGAGTAATTATTGCACATATCTTATTGCTCATTATCAAAGCACTAGTCTGAAAAAATCAACTTGCACAGACTCTTTTATAGTTTACTTAGCAAAAGCAGAACTGATTATTAAAATTTTAAAGTATTTTTTCAATAAAATATTTCTTTGACATCTTAAGTAATGGCAGGTACTAACTGTCAGCATAAATATCAAGACTTTAATAGGAATAGTGATGATAAACTTACGTAATATTTCTGGTTCAACCCCAATTTAAGGTATCAATTACTTTCAAGCTTCTATGTTTGAGTCATTTTTCCTTCTTTCCAAATATAACAATCTCTATTCACTTGTGCTGAAGCATTTCCCTCTCTTACGCTATTTAGTTTTGCACTTTCCTACTATAGGCTGACTACAAATATTATCACACAAATTATATAGTAATTCACTCCCCAACATTCATTTATATAGATTATAACAACAGATTATTAAAATATATTGCAAAATAATTTAATTGCATCGCAACTGCTCTGATCACTTAAATCCTTCATTGATTTTTTAAGCCCAAGGCACACTAATTTACATGAATATGTTTTTTATTTGATATAATAAATCCCTCATGTGAATGAAAAAAAATTCTGTAAGTAATCTGTACATGTAGGGCTCCAACTCATGATCCAAAGATCAAGAGTCATATGCTTTACTGACTGAGAAAGTCAGGTGCCCCAGTGAAAATCTTTAGTAACCAACTGACCAGTGTTTTTCAAGCTGTGATCTGAATGTAGGGGAGGAAGGAAAGTAATAGTTTTCTGCATTAAAAAATTGTTTTTCATTGTTGTGATGATATAAAATGATTTTCGGGGGTGACTACATGGTTTTATTCTTAGTATTTATTTAAGATTTGAGGACCTGAGTTAACATTTGTGTTACAAACTAGTTTGGTACAAGTAGCCCTAATTTATTCATCATATGAAAAGAACTAATATGGATTTGATTTAGTCTTCATTTGTTCAATTCTTTATTCATTCATTTAACAAATATTGGATGCCTACAATGAGGGATTAATTTATTCATGACACGGGTACCAATGAAAAACCATAGGGTATCCAGAAACCCATGTACAAATAAGGACAAGTAGCTTATAAAGAAGTTGACACATAAAAGTGGTTGGGGAGAAAAAGCTATACTTAGGGCACAAAGGAACTGTATCGCTTCACTATAAAACGTAACGGTAAACTTACAATATACATAAGCTTACAAATTAATCAATCGAATGAAAGGTGCCATGGCAATTTATCAGAAAAGTTCTCTATAAACACTTTCAATAGTCTATGTACACTTTTCAAAAAGTTTTATTAAAATGGTAATTATAATTAAAATACTTAATGAATTTTAATTGACAATACGAATGCCAATGCATAAGTGCCCAAGCAACCCAAAAGTCCATTTATTTGGCTATACAGCATACTGGATAAAAGCACTGAATTTGAAACAGAGTTTCCTGTTTTGATTCTGTCACTTTGCTGGCTGTGTAATTAATGTTGAGGTCTTAAAACTTCTGAGCTTCAATCTTTTTATATCTGAAGTTAACATAAAAACAGTGCCGAATTCATAAGGTTATGTGGATACACACATGGGGAATGTACAGTTCAACTTCGGGCACATAGTAGTGGTTTTACATTACTTATAGTTTAAAAAAATGTCATTTGTCATGCTTGAAACTAAAAATGCTAGCATTTTTAATTCTTTCAGTATTAAAATTCTATCCAATATAGTAAGTAAGTAGTATATCTACTTAGAATCATCAGAAACTTGAAATAAAAATTTTAACCTTTGGCTCATCTCTTCGTACACCCATGCGGCCTCTCCTGGGTCTTCTTATTACTTTAGTTGTTCTGTAATCAGTCTGGCTGTCCACTAGGGACCCAACAGAATACCGCAACTCAGCTGAGGTGTCTAGATGAGTTCTGGAAAAAGGAAAAATATGAAACATACTCAATCTCAAAAGTTAAACTTTCCAGTAAATCACTATGAAATGCTCCATTGTCAATAAAGAATAAAGCATAAAAAGTGAAGAAAGCATAAATGCTCAAGGAAAAAGAAAAATGTCACAGAAGAAAACTGATGAATTGTCATGACTCTTTGGGTCTCTTCTGAGGCTTATGTCAAAATCAGTTTCAGGTCCATTCTTGAAGGCAAGTGACTATTCTGTTTAAACAGAATATAAAAAAGCTGTCCATTAATCATCATTTTCAAATGTGATAGTAAAATAAAACATGTTAAGATTGACAACCAAAATCCATTGGCTTAAATTCTGGCAATTCTATTTAGTTGAATTATTTAGTGTACATATCAATATATGTTATTTATTGCTGTACATGTTTTAAGTATTTCCCACTAATCTAACAGTAAAATGTGCAAACTTTTGGGGTCTCAGAATGCTCTCTTAGGGTGTTCTATTTGTCAATTTAGGAAATTAACAAAATACTTAAAATTAGATTGACCCAACGTTAATAATCTTATTTTTTAAATATGACAGTATCTACCACCAGGACAATTTTCAGCTATTGATAAGACATTGTTTCAAAAAGATTAAAAAAAAACTTTTGATAAGCAAATTTGATTCTGAAATCTGGTTAAAGATGAAATAGTTGGAAAATTCCAGTCGAAAAATATCATCACACTGGTTTTCAATAAACACTGTAATCAAAGTGTAATAAAGGTTTCACTAGACATGTTATTTATATATAGATTTATAGCAAATTCAGTTTATTGCTATAATAATGATGATGATAATAGTGACAGCATGCTGTCCTATAAAATGATCCATCATCAGTAGGAAATATGTTTAACACTGTATTTTCTGTTGAACTTGGGGCTCCTACTGATCTACCTTCCTCTAATAGTACTTTTTGGGAAAAAAGAAAAAAAAAAAACCCTAGCATTTCCAAATTATTGGCAAGGCCAGAAAAGGTTAGGTGAGGTCTAGGTTTTTGCAATGGTAGAAGACACTGACCTAAGTAATGCAAATCCTTGTTCTGTCAAATAGAAATGTAAAGCAAATGAACTAAGGAATCATCCTCCATGTGGAAGGCAGTTACTGTTTTTATATCAGTGAACTTGAAACTTAGTCAAGGAAACTGGTTTTATTATGGATTAACCATATATAAAAACTAATGAACCAGGTCACATTCATAAATAGGACCTCTCTCAAACTCTATTTATAATAGGGTATTGTTTCATGAACAAAGGTCAGATTTTAGTCACCACTGTATGCTGAAGGAGGTGTTCCTAGCATGTAATAAACACTTGATAAATGTCTGGTAAGCTCATAAATGAATGAAATTAATTATAATACACTCTAAACAATCTACCTCAGAACATTCTAGGTACCTTTTGCCTGCTATTGGTTGGGTAACATCTCTTTGGTCATTGAAGTGGCAATTCTAATATTATAACTCATTATCCGAGGGGTATTGTTTTCTTATTGTATTATCTCTCAACTCCAAGTCACTTATAAAAGTGTGAACCGCAAAACACAGATCTGCTTCTATTGATGCCCTGCTCAATCCCCTTCAAGGGCCTTACCTGGAGCTCTACTTTCTAGCATCACTTCTAGTTACTATCTGCTTTCTCTCTCTCCATCCAGCTGTACTGACTTTCTTTCAATTTCTTGAGTAAGTCTTTCCTTTGATCACACTTTTATTTGATCCTGAGCCTTCAAACATGTCCTTTCTGTTGGAAACAGTCCCTTCCCACATTTATGTAGTTAACATTTTTAAAGTCTCAGCTGAAAATTCCCATTGTCTTATACTATATAGCCCCTGTATTCCCTTTACTGTAATAGTCCGCACAGTATCCCTGTGTTTCCCATTTGAAACAGGTGTATTATTCATTCATCTGTAAGATCAGTGAAGTTCCTATGCATCTTCTGTTTTCTTATGTCTGTTTAAATTGTGCATTTTGAAGCAAGAATATTCAATAATAATTGCCATTCAATACATATTGTTATCCTATAGCATATTATAAATTCTATCAGTTTGTCTATCAGTAATTCTTATAATACTTTGTACTTTTTGATTTATTGCTTATAAAACCCCCTTTGCTCACTAGTTTCATTTTATATGCAAAGTAAGCTTGTGAGGTAATCATAAGCATTATTTTATATATAATTCATGTAAAATATATATAAAATTTGAACTTCTTAAGGAAAATGGGTTTTCCAAAATGAAATAGCTAATAATTATATGTCTTAGACCTAGAAATGTCAGTCTTCTTATTCTTGGTCTAGTTTTGTTTCTACTACAATCTAGTGTATCAAAAAAGAATTGTTCTGTATGTAGTTCCCAAGCTTCCAGGATGATCCTTCATTGTGGATAAATGTCATATTATTAGGCTGTCCATGATGACTCACTGTAGCAATGAACTTTGAAAACTTGTAGATAACACTTCTACAACTCTCTATTTTTTAAGGATATTATATACATATATATTTAATTTCAGTATAATTAATGTACAATGTTATATTAGTTTCGGGTATACAGTACAGTAATTCAATAGTTCTATACATTACTCAGTATTCATCATGGTAAGTATATTCTTAATCCCTTCACCTATTTCACCCACCTCCCTACCCAGCTTCCCTCTTCATAAACACTAGTTTGTTCTCCATATTAAAGAGTCTTTTTTCTCTCTCTCTCTCCCCCAACTCTGAGATCAAATTTCTGAGACCAAATGTCAAAAAGCCAACAAAATGGCTATTTGTTTCTGTTAAAAAAAATATTAAATTTGTTTACTATGTCATTCTATGTATTTATTCTGTTGCTATTTTATCAGTTCTTTTTCTCCTTCATCAATACCATTATCATCATCTTATCATGTGAACATGTATCACTGAATTAATCATTTCAGTTCAGATACCTAACTCATAATAAAGCAATTAGAAAACTAAACATAGCTTTCTAAATTAAAGACCTACATGTTTGAAAGTTCTTTGGGTATTTTTATGCTTGCAGAACTGCATTTTTTATATTAAACTGAAGGTAAAAATACTCAAAATATTGCACATTAGTTTTACTAATACTTACATTCAAGAGAATATAAGCACCTTTAGGATTTTTAACTTGGATTTTTGAGATGAGTATCTAAAAAATTCTTTTTTAACATAGTTACTCAATGAATGATATCTATTGAGAGTATACACTTTACCAGGTTTTGTTTGGTTGTTTGTTTGTTTTAGGTACTGAGATTACAGTAACCGAAACAAACATAAATTCTAGTGCCAGCAGAGAGAATATTCTTAGAATAGGCACAAGACCAAGGAAAATGAACTTCTCAAAGTCTATGGTGGTCAAATGTTTCAAACAATTGATATGATTGTGTTGTCTAATAAATAAATGATCAAATGATTAAATCCTTGTAGGATTTCTCATTAACTTTAAATAAAAGGCCCTAAGCACAAAAAATTATATGTGAATTATCAAGATCAATCTATTTATCTAGAGAGTAAATAATTATATAATTGCTGAGTCAAGGTGAGGTACTGAGTCAAAATAGATGAGTACAGCTAAATTTACTTGTTTTTAAAACATGCATAAGTTCTCCTTCACTTTGTATTTGTAATTAATTTAATGAGATAGGTGGATGATAAGTGACCATAATCAATGATATTTTTTCAGTAACATTAAACATTGAAAGCATTTCTGCATGTAGAGAAAAGAGGTGTTGCTTCTTTCTAGAATGAGGAATGTAATCTCCTTACTTCATTTAAGACTCTTTTTATGTTATTTATAGCTGTGTAATTAAATGCAGAATACAAAATATCATACTTAAAATTTTTATTGCATATTTGCAGAACACATTACTAACTTAAAAAACTATCTTTGAATATAGAAACAGTAAATCAGTAAGGAGTAAGGACTAAACATAGGGCAATGCCTGCTAAGCAATAAGAGGCATGTTTTGTTTTATTTGAGGTGATATGAAACCATAAAAAATTCATACTGATTTTTGGCAAGCTATAAATACGATTTTAATTTAATGTTACCTTGATATTGTGGGTTCAATTAAAGAACCAGTTCTCATTTTCAATTGATCAAGTTCAGATCTCAGCTTTTCAATTTCTTCTGCTAATCTTTCCTAAAAATCAAAGAAGTTTTACTCAGAAGATATGCATATGCCAAGAATACCAACATTCAATTATGATAAACCAAGCTATCAATCTTAATGGCTTTTTAAAGATGGAAAACTGATGGATATATTTTTATATATCATAGGTCATTAGACATGACAGTAAAATATGCCTCATTTTTCCCTTGTAATGAAAATGTGAATAGCACAAATCAATAGAAAGTTATCCAAACATTAGTGCCTTGAAGATGTCTTATAAAGCAGTACTTTAGATCGCTGAGACGAAAGTAAACACAGAATAATATGCTATGCTTTAAACTTCACCATCAATGAACTGAACTCAATATATGAATGATCATATTTCCTAGTAAAACCAACATCAATTCTTTTGATCTTTATTTCTTTGCAATCACTTTCATGGTCATCAGTTAATTTCTGATGAAAAGATCTGTCAAAAACTCCTGTAAAGCTTGTTTTTCCATTAGTTGGGGTTAAAAATAAATAATACAAATTTTTCTTCCTTAAAAAAAGTTATCTACATTGTCTATATTCACTAATCCTAAATTTTTGCAAACCTATAGGAATACTAAGATCACAACTAGCTATGTATACATCTCTTCAAAATGCAGAATCATAACCATCATAGTAGATTTAAAAAAATAAAGAAAAGGTCTTATTCAGGGAGAGAAGAACTTTGATTATTCTATAAGGGTTGTAATACACATGATAAAGGAGAAAGAAAAATGGATTAAAATGGATTAAAAAACTGGGGCACCTGGGTGGCTCAGTTGGTTAAGCTTTCAACTTCAGCTCAGGTCATGATCTCGCAGCTTGTGAGTTGGAGCTGTGCTTTGGGCTCTGTACTGACAGCTCAGAGCCTGGAGCCTACTTTGGATTCTGTGTCTCCATCTCTCACACTCAGCCCCTCCCTCACCTGCATTCTCTCTCTCTCTCTCTCTCTCTCTCTCTCTCTCTCTCTCAAAAGTAAATAAAATTTTTAAAAAAGATGAAGAAAAGTCATTACCTGATATGTTAAAATTGTGAGCTTGATATTGGTAGAATTATTTGTACATCTGAAAATTTTCTGATTGGCATTATCAGTTTCTGTCTGTAAAGTTTCTATGATAAAGGTCATCTAATAGTCCTTAATTAAATGCTTATGTAAGCATTGTAAGCATTTAATTTTGTTTTCATGATTAAAACATTTTATAATGTAAAAGTTTAAATGTGTCCTTCTAGATTTTCTTTTACTGTTTTTTTTCCCGTCCCAGCAGCCAATACTTGACATTTTACTTGACTCATACCTCATTTCTCACCATACTTTGTTGTTAATGTGGCTTTCCCAATATTTTTATCTGTCCTTTTTATTCTTACTAACACCATCCTACTCGACACTTTCTTAATTTTTTCCTGAATTATTTCACCAACTTCCACTTTAATCCCTTTTTTTTGTTAGTTCCTCATATGTGCATAGGGAACCTCTGTTGTGCTATGCCATTAGATAAAGTTGTAAGATAAAAAATTCCCTGCCCTCCTATAATTTATAATCTAGTAAAAAAGACAATAAACAAAGTCTATAGGATGTTGGTAGGAAAAAGAAAATAAGAGAAGCATGGAAGATCTCTCCAATAAAGTACTATTTGAGCAAAAACCTAAAGAAAGGAAAGAAGTTAAAAAAAAAAAAATAGAGATGTCCTAGGAAAAGGGGTAGCAGGTGCAAATGCTCCTTAGTGAGAAGGAGTATATTTGTTGAAGGAGAGGGCAAGATCATTGCAGCTGGGTTGGACAGGTTAAAGAGAAAGATAGGTAGGGGACAGACTTAGAAAAGTTTTGGTTGCTGGGCTTGGGAAGGGTAGTCCTAAAAGGCCGTGTCAACCATTTTGAAGTCTTTGGTTTTTACTGTGAGTGAGACAGGAAATAAAAAAAGGATTTTTGAGCAAAGTGGTGACACGATCACTCTTGTTAAATGAGATTGGAGGGAGGGAGGGAGGGAAGAAAGATAATTATTATTGATCTCCCAAAAACATATGAAAGAGAACTGTGGCTTACGATAAAGGTGTTAGAGACTGAATGGATTTGGGTTATATCTTGAAGACAGAACTAACTGAATTTGCTATTGGACTGAATGGGTGTGAATAAAGAAAGGGGTCAAGAATAACTCCAAGATTAGATGAGAAGTTGTGATTTACTGAGAAGACTACTGCTGGTTATGGTTTAGGTTGGTGGTGCTGAATTTTGGATAGGGGGGATTGAACCTGTGAATTTTTGAGTTGCCAAAGTATCCAAATACAGATATTGAGTTGGCTCTTAAATACGTGAACTCTCTCAAGAGAGAGGACCCAGTACGTGATCTAAATTAGGAAATGCTCAATTTATAGATGGTTTTAAATCCATGAGATCAGAGGAGACTGAACTCAGTGAGTAAACATGAGAAGAAATTCAAAACCAGTCCTAGGAATTTCAAATTTTGCAGATCAAGATGACGAAGAGAAACAATGAAAAGAGGTTGAGTATACAGGAGATTTGGCTAATGAATGACTGTCAGTTATAGAGAACTGAGTGAAATTTAAGAAGTTATAGGAGATATGGTTAGATTAGGAAATATGTTCAGCTGTGTGGGATGATATTCAGAAATGGGATATGACCTGGGATTTGCTTCCTCTAGTTACTGGCGTGAACAAGGGTGCAAAGCATGGACTGATTAGTACTGTTGGTTGCTTAGGCAGATTGTTGAAGCTACAAGGCTTGGGTAGGTGGTGGGGGAGTGGGTTCTGGGAATCTTGCCAGGAGCACACAGAGCTTTGGAAAACATAACATTGCATAACAGGATCAAGTCCAAAATCCACAATCTGGTCACTACCCAGTTCTTTAAACATACCAGTCATAGCAAACTTCTGGTAAATCAGCAAATCAACCATCTTTGTTTTCTCTGTGCTCTCACATAGGCTCTGACCTCTGCCCTACCCTTGTCTATTTGGTAAGATCTTATGTGCCTTCAAGAGCCTGATGAGATGACATCTTCACTCTGTAGACTTTTTTTTAAAACTTCTTTGGAAAGAATTAGATGCTATCTTCTGGGGACCATATTGTATTGCCATAGAGAGATCTATCTTTCAGGAGATCATATAGACTCTGACTGTGGGGCCAAATAGTTTTAAATTAAAATCATAATATGCAGAATTTAGTGGGGTTAAATGTACAGTTGTTCTTTTTTTTAAACCTTTCTTCTCTCATCTTTTCCAATACTTTTCATATACCATACTATTGCCAGATATTCCCTCCTCTCCCTCCATCTCTTCCCTCCCTTGATTCTTCTCTCTCTCTCTCTTCCCTTTTGTTCAACACACATTTATAGGTCACTTCTTAAGTCAATAATTTTATATTACATTATTTTCCTAAGCTAAACAAAATGAAATCAGGTAAAATTGCTAACAAAAATTTATAGGCACGGTACCTGGGTACTTCAGTCAGTTAAGCATCTGACTGTTGATTTTGGCTCAGGTCATGATCTCAAGGTTGGTGGGATTGAACGCTCCATCAGACTCTACTGACTGTATGGAGCCTTCTTAGGCTTCTCTCTCTCCTTCTCTTTCTGCCTTGCCCTTGCTTGCATGCTCTGTCTTTCTCTCTCTCTCAAAATAAATAATAAACTTAAAAAATTTACAGGCTAATGAAGGAGGAGGAGACACATTAGCAATTACAGCTTTTAACATTTCGTAAGTTGGTCCTAATCTGCCTCTTCTACCATATATCCTATAATAGGAATACCTGATTCCAGCCAAACTGTTATGCTCATTATTTCTTAAAAAGTTAAAAAAATATATTCTAAAGAGAAAGAGCAGAGGGAGGGGCACATGGAGAGAATCTTAAGCAGGTTCCACGCTCTCAATGCAGGACGTGATCCCACAAGCCTCGGATCATGACCTGAGTCAAAACCAAGTTGGATGCTTAACTGACTGAGCTACCCCAGTGCCTCATGTTATGTTCATTATTATTTAAGAAATTAAACTCCTACTCACTCTCTCCTGGCCCAAAGCACCAGGAATCATGCCACATGCCATGCACTGTATTTAAGAGGCTTGTAACATATTCTTACCTTTCCACAGAGCTTTGTCAAGTCACACCTCCCTGAAGCCTTATTTACAGTGGCAGTATATGGTGGTCTCTCCTACCTGTAGCTTTTACTACCTATTTCACTCCTTTGACACTCAGCAACTGTTTCTCTGCACCTTGCTGCTTTGTCAAAGGTATGTTCCCGCTCTTCAATTATGCTTTTCAGCTACTTCGGAACCAGGATCGTGTTTGCAAACATAATTCAGCACAATCATTTTTCATAATAGATATTTAATACATGTCTGCTTAAATGATATCTCAAACTAAATACAAATTAGTTTATTCCATTTGGGTAAAGCACAAAAAGTCCAAAGCATTTTTTTTTTTTTTTAGAAATAAGACAGTGATTATTGTTTAGAATAAAAGTAATAATTGTATTTTAACAAGAAGGGGGCTATAAGAGTGTTGATTTTTAGTGTGTTTGGTTTGTAAAAACTTTGACTTCTCTAGATATGTACAATTTTCTGTATATATAATATAAAAGTTAAAATTGTTTAAAAAAGATAGCATCCTATATTTATTATCAAATTTATTTTACAACACATTCATCAGTGTAAAATAGAAAAATGGGTAATATGTAAGTTTCCATTATACCTTGTCATGTAAGGATTCTTCTAGATTCTTTCTGAAAGTTTCTGATTCTTGAATTAAAACATTCTAAAGAAAAGAAAAGAAATAATTAACTAAAGAGAAAATAATTAAATATGTAGGTTAATGTTTCTTTGCTCAAGAATCTTCTTTGACTCCTTCTCTTTGATTCCTTCTTTGGTACATCTATTTCTTGGTTTCCATGGAAACCACATTTAAATAGAGTCTTTAAACATAATACCTTAACATTTAGAAAAATACATAATTTAAATGGGAAATGTTATTTTGTAATACTTGGATTGACAAATGGAATAAATATTATCTTCTAAGTTACTTATATTTTCCTCTTCCCAGTGTTTTAAAATTTGAAATGACTAGGTTACTTTTAAAATGAGAAAATGTGAGTAATTAACTATATATTAGCCAAAGATGTTATAGATAAAGTATTCAGCTGAACTCATTTTTATCATCTGAGGAAAAAATAAATTATCGAATCGAATTTATTGAAAGTTTAATTTCTGGATTTCTATTTCAAATCCAGAAAAAATAATTTCCAATAAAGGTTAAATCATTAGGGAATATAAATGAAATTTTAGTTATTTACAAAAGTGTTACATTTCATGACATGGAGAAGTAAGTTGCATCATAGGTATTTTTTTAAAAATTTTGTCATGAAGCTATTACTGTTGTAAAAGCTTTATACCTTTTTATATTACTACAAAGCATGATTTTAAAAAATGCACTTTTCCAAATTTAATTTTAGTAAAACTAAACTAAGACTGTAGTGATTGGTAAAATGGCCATGCATTTGGAGTTGAACCGGAATAAGGCATGCCTTATCTCTGTAATGTAAAGTAGTCAGTTTACTTTAACAATTTCATGGGAGTATTTTTTTCTATTTTGGTTCAGTGTCTGGATCAGGGGGAAATGTCTAGTTTAAGTAGTGACTGGCATTCATTCTCAATTTCCAAACTGATTTGTTGGCCTGGTTTTAGCGTCTACCTTTGTTTCTATTCTGAAATTGGCAACCAGCTCATTAACTCGTTCTGGTATGGTCATTGCCATAAGACACATAGCATTGTGAATGATTTTGCACACTGTAAAGAAACAATTTTCTGGAATCGATGCAGCTGAAATTATTGTATTCCTAAACTCTATAGTAGGATTAATACTAGTCCTATTGGTGATATAAACTCACTCACTCATTTTGGCTTTCAGACTAGGAGTAGATTTACTTACTTGAAATATTTGAATAGTTCAATGCAAGACATCACCAAAATATCCATTTTTGTCTTTTGTCTCATTGCTCTTTTTTTTTGCACACCAGGTAAAGAATAACTAAATATTTTCATCACAAAATATATTTTAATACATTTATCTATATCATCATGATAATATGCAAGATTTATATACCATGCAGCACTTTTCCTCATTTAAAAATATATATTACACATTTTTACAGAAACTACTTTTTAACTTCTAAGACTATGTCATATGTGGTTAAGGAAAATAAGTGGATCATCTGACCAATACTATAATCAGAGCAGGGCATAAAACAACCATGCTCATAAGAACATTGATAAATGTTCATGTGATTCTACTCTTCTGTTACTTTACCTTTTCCTCTAGAGCAGCCATTCTTTCCTTTAAATGTAGTTGTAAGCGTTCATTGGATTCAGTGAGAAGTCTGTCCACAGTATCAGATAATCTTTTGTTGTGTTCCTCATTCATTTTCTCTCTTTGCCTAGCCTTATATTCAAGAAAAAATAAATAAACTTGAGATAACAATCATTTAAAAAGTATTCAGGTTTGTTTTTATATTTTTCTAGTTTTAAAATTGGATTTCATTTTATGTCTGGTGTGTTTAAGTTGGCAGAAACTTTTTTTTTCCTTTAAAATGCACAGAGCATATTCATAAGATTCTAAATATAACCTCATCAAGAAAGACATTCATTTCTTACATGCCCATAGACTGATGATGGAGGGGAGTAGTTCTTAATATACATACTCTTTGAAGTTCTTGATTTTTCTCTTCAAGTTGACCTTCTAGATGTCTCATGCGTTCTTCAATGTTTCCATGTCTCTCTTCAGCCTGTTAAGAAATATGAAAAATGTACCTGACATGTAAGATTTGATTAATACTTTACCTCTAAATAAATTGAAATAAAATGTAAAGCAAGCTACTACCAACTGCAAATGTAACTTTCAAAAAATAAACTTTTTTTAAACAGGCAGCTGAACAGCATTGCTTGAAATGTGTCAGCTACAAAGGCCTGTTACATCCAAGCATCAGCAAAACATTGGACTTATTTATGAGCAATGAAATCAGCCAAATGTAACATGCAGACTGTGCATGGTTTGAACACAAACCTGCCATTGTCCAATCTTAAGCTCCTGAAGCACTGAACTGCACAGATGGTTGATTATCAATAAATAAAAATAACATAATTTTTATAAATGAAAAGAAAAACTTAGATGGATTCTATTTAGCAATAGAAAGTAAAGTCCAGTAGGACTACCTTCCTACGTATGGAGATCATTTCTTGTAGTTTAGCTTCCATAACATATTGATAATCATCAGATGAGGTAGAAGAGGTTGGATCAGACTAACAAGTCAAGGAAAAGGAGAGGGACAAAATTGAAAAATCAGAACTAAAGACACTGACACTGAACAGAACATAGCACAGAATGCTTAAAAGAAAAATGTGACAGCAAATTTAATACTTTAATAGACAGAATTTTACATGGAAAAAACTACACTGATATCTGGTGAACACGATGCAGTCAATGGTTATAAATGAAAAACAATGATATGCCCAAATAAAAAGCTACCAACCTAAGGTATGGAAGGTTAGTGACGGCTGGCGATGAAAGACTACTACAGAATGAATTAAAGCAACTCTGAAAGAGTCATGTAATAATTGGAATTATGGGAAACCAAACACTAGAATATGTCTCTGATAGATTGTTAAAAGTTTTGTATTTTGGCTTGTTTGTTTATCATATTACTTAAAAGTAAGGCAAACGGTGGGTCTCAACGTTGAGGTGTATGCTAAGACAATGACCCAGGTGAAATAAATTTGGAAAAACATTTATTACAAACCTAACACTGTAGAAATCAAGTAAAATCTAAGCCACAGGATTAATTATTATGGGTATTCTCCAATTCAAGCAGGATTGAGTTTCCTCAGCAACAGTGACAAGCTTACAAAATGACTTCTGGTCCTTGAAAACACAGTGTGACTATAGGTTTAGTGCCTTGGCACCTCTTCTCAGATGTAGTCTTTATTTGAGATTTTAAATAAAAGTGATTAGAAGTCCTCAAATTATCAAAGTGACAATATTTTGTGAGGACAAGATTATTTATTTACGATGTCTCCTGAATGACACTAGGAACCACTCAGAAACTGTTTCTACACTGATTTGTTGCTATGGAAACAAAATAGTGCCCTAAAGTGAGCAGGCAGCATGGTGCCTTTGTCAGCTAATATTTGCCCGGTGCCAGGGTTAGTTACATGTCTTGGAGGTGACTGTCAGGTTATCACAAGACACAGAGTGTTAACACATGTGACATTGCTGATAGCTGAATCATATTAGTATGATAGGCACAGATTACATGTAAAGTTAAATCAACATTTTAATTATAATTACAAGTATTTATAACATCAAAATTATCGTATGTCAGATCTATAAGATTTAACTCCAGAGCATTTTCTATTACATACTATTAGTTTATTCTAAAACAATGAAACTTACTTTATGCAAATATAGGACTATATATAAATATGTCATGCAGTACCTATAAAGAAATAGTAGCCTATTCATGTATTGGCTCACATACATATGTACTATTTTACGCAACAAATTCCAACTAATCTATAACATAAATATTTAACATTTAACTTGTGTACTTATATAGATTATAACTCAATATTTACATTTGTAAGATTTTCCTTTTGATATTCTTGTTTCATAAATGGGGAAAATAATATAACAAATAATTTCTCTCCCCAAATTTCCAAGCAGAAGAAACACAGAAAGCTATCATAGTTCCCAAATGCCACAAAATGGTTTTCTAGTATCACTTAAAACCTAGAATTCAAATAAGAATATAGTAAATGGGTCAAAATGCTGTTGAAATAATATCATCAAAATTCATTAAGGTATCTGTAATCTCTCAAAAGTACATTTTAACACACAGTTGGTGGTATAAAAATTAATCAGGTGATTGATTCAAGGTAGTCAAAGCATGAACATTTCAATTTCCAAAACTGCCTCTTCAAAAACACAAGCCCAGTAGGCTTTCCAAAGGTCCTCAAAACTTATACCTCTTTCCATCTTAACTATCAAAAACATACCAAACATTGTGAAAATTCACTTCAAAGACTGAGCAAGAATTCTATCAAGTTTAAATTCCTTTGTTATTGTTGATATGTTTTATTGGTACTAAAAATGAATGAAATACCTATGGAATGCAATACGAATTATGTCCTTGCTGAGGGAATATGCATTTTAATTAGAGAAGTAAACATCATATCATAAAACTGGGATCCCAAAGTCTTTATTGGTTAATTATGTGTATACTTGCCATAGCCAAATTTTAACTTTTATCCATAGCCATGAATTAATACTTCTGAGTTTCTAAGGCCTTAAATGAGCTTTCCCTACCTACCCCCCCAAACACACACATGCACACATTCACATACACACATTATCAACCAAAGAATAAATTCAGACATCGTTTCTAAACAAACACTGGGATCAATTTCTACTACTATTGATTTATGTTCATCTTAGCCTTATGAAGACTGTAGTTTAAGTAATTAGTGTAAATACAAAAGTCACACAAAAACAATCTATTTTTGTACTCCTTGATGGGATATAGGGCTTATCTTGGCTTCACTCTTTAATGTGACAGAAAGAAATTTCAAATGAGCTAATGTTCAGAGGAAATTATAGGGAGAATTGGCTTTGAGAAAAACATGAGTAGATTTGGAAATGGAGAAGAAATAAAAGTCAAAGAGGGGAAGGGCAAAAAGAAGAAAGCAATAGGTAGCAGATAATAAAAGCAGAAAAAAATACAAAGGCAAAATAAAGTGTCTGAAGCATTATTTAGAATGCCGCTGATAATACAGGATAAGGAAGCCTAGGTTTAAGCTAAGCAGAAATCTTTTTACTTTAGTATCAAAAATAATAAGATGTAGAAAAAGATTATGATGATCAGTAACAGTGAGATATTGAAAACTAAATGAAAGTGAAAAAAAAAAAAACTGGTTCTAGAGATAGTCCCTAAAGGTGTGTGAACAGAGAAGAAAAAGTACAAGATCATTGTAGCCATAAAACTTGGGAAAACAAATGAAAGAACATCTTCAAATGTTATAAAAATGTTACAAGCATTGGGAGTGTGTTGAGGATAAAACCTCTTCTCTAGACAAGTGGGTATTAAATGGCAATAATCTAGAAACTCTAGTTGAAATAATGGTGTTGATATAAAGTCAGTCTGAAGAGAAAGCAGTAAAAAAGAGAAGCACAGTGAATTCTAGCATTTTTAACACTTAAGAAGGGTAAAACTCTACCAAAAAAGGAGGAAATCAAAAGAATTCAGAGGAAGTGAAATTTTAGCAATATATTATTAGTTAGAAATAAACTGAGGAAATTATTTTGGATACATGAATGAGTTTATGTATCAAAAATAAATAACTAAGAGCCCCAGGGGAAAAAAATGAGGGGAAAAAAGATAAGACACCTATTTCAAGCTTTTTTTTTATATTCTAAATTAAGGATGCTTAGGAATATATACTTTGTAGCCTCATAAACCAAGTATTATATTTTAAAGTATGTTTTGTCCTCAGTCCATCAGAGGTTAATTAGGAGCAATTATTTGGTGAATTTTAAATTATATTACTTCGGGAGAGATTCCAAACTTTTTGTATTTTACTCAGGATAGTATTGATGGTTATTTTACAATAGAATTTTACAAAATTATTTTTATTATTTAGCCACTCACTTAAAGCTCCTGAAAATAGTTCAATTCAATAACTCCTTATATAAGTTCATGTTCTTCAAATGAAGAGCCTTAGTGTGTGTGTGTGTGTACACACACATATATATCCTTATCCATATTTGAGTAATTTAAAATATGCTTGCAAAAAAAGTAGAAAACTACTACTACAGTTGCACATTTTTATATAATTTAGAGAATATTTCTCAAATTAAATGATAAATTTATCTTTATTTTAGAAAGTACACATTTCTAAAATTGCCAGAAGGGTTTATGGTATATCTATGACTATAGAAGGATCCAGATTGTGACATTATCCTAATCACACTAATGTTTTATTCAGCTAGTTATTCCAATACTCTGCAGGCAAGCAACTATTCCAATACATTTTACCCTTCTCTACTTTGCAAATATTTGTCTTTTTACTACCCGACTAATTATCCTATTTTAACCAATAGGCATCAGTCTACTGTTCCTCTTTAATTATTTACTTTTTTTGGGAAAGCAAATGTGTGTGCCTTTTATATTGCCACATCAACTGTTTTGGATAATCCCTAATGCCAGAATTTGTAACTTGTAGTTCACATATCTATCTTACCCATTTTTTAGGGTGCATGGAAACCATAGCACTGAGCAATGGCTGCATGAACATCTAAAATATTTGTACATTTTTGAGCTGATATTAAAAGTAAAACATGCTTTTAGAGAGCAAATTTGAACTTTTATTGTAGTGACACATACACTTTGAATGCTCTAAAGCACTGTCATTTCCATTTGACTGTGAATGATAAGAACAGTCATTTTTAACTTTATAATGGTTGCAAAATTCTAAAGTATGCAGATAATTGCAGAATTTGACAGCCATAACAAGATAGATAATTTTGAACATTTTTGAGATTATTACTGAATTTAAATGGTTCAGAAGAAATTATAACAATTAAAACCTCTTTATACTTAGTAACTTTCGAATAGAGTTGAGTCTATTAAGTTATTCTAACTTATCTATATATGTATTAATTTTCATCATTATTTGTTTCCATTCAGTGATTATTCTAATGTACAAATATTATCATGGAAAATTAACCAACAGGATATAAAATTTTGTTTTTTGCTACTGTTTAAACAGGCAAAGGTATCAAATCACATTCATAACTAAATCATTCATATCATCATAAACAAGATCTATAATACGAAAAACTCATCTAAGTAACAAACCAATATAATAAAGACAAAATAAACTTAAATTTCTAAAACCTAAAGAAAATCTATAGATTCCATGTAGATCACTAGTCATTTCTATAAGTATATCTAGACTGACTAATTGTTTCATGGCATTACCTTTGTCAGAGCTGCAATCCTCTGAGCCAGTTCAGCCTCTACTTCGGGCAAGGTCTCAGCTTTCCTCATAGTCTGCTGCAACTTTTGCTCAGCCAGCTCAAGACGCTCTTGTAACTGTCTGTTCTTCTCTTCCATCTGAAATAGGGATGGAAAAAGAGACACTTAAAGAGTCACAGTAAGGATAACAAACACCAGTCGCTAGGGTTTCTGCCATTATTCTAGATTTAAAATCAGCCAATAATACCACACTTACTGTGCAAAGAGAGGATTGCATTCATGTTTTCAAATATTACTTACTCACATTCCTTAATAACAATTAGCACATTAAAAAAATAGCTCTTACCAATGGCAGCAAAAAGAAATAAAAGTTACTAGTGAGTATAAATGTGGACAAATGGAATATAACTCAATACTAAGACTTCAGACATACCATGATAGCATAATATTGAAAATTATAGTATTAACTGGAGTGAGAGAGGTAATGAAGCACAATGATTAAGAGCCCAGGCTCTAGAAATGGGGTTGAGAAAACTTTTTTTTTCTCTGAAAGGACAGATAATAAATATTTCAGACTTTGTGTATCATTTAATCTCTGTTCCAACTATTCAATTCTGCTGCTGTAGCACAAAAGCAGTCATAAAAGATGATTAAATAAACAAGTATGGCTATGTTTCAATAAAACTTTATTTATTATTTATAAAACAGAGCTATAGTTTTGGTACATGGGCCATAGTTTGTCCCCTCCTGCTCTGGAGCCAAATAGACTTAGGCTTCCATTAATAACTGGCATTTATCAGATGTGTGACATTGGTAAAGTTTTTATGTCTGTGAACCTTAGTGCCTTGACATAATTGTGCTTACTTCATAGGTGGTGGTTAGATTTAAGTGAGGCAATACATGATAACTGCTTAGCAGAGTCTGGTTCATGTCTAGACCCAAAGTAACTATTTTCATTATTATTAAGGCAAAATTGTAAATTACATGCTGGAAATCACATCTGTTTTGTCAGTTTCATTCTAATTTTAGAGAACAGTTGAATGCCAAGTAATCCTGCATTTTATTTACTCTGTATTTTGTGAGAATGGTGAGAGAACACATGGACCAGAACAAAACCAAGACACAGATACTCAACCTGCCGTAGGATGGCCTCTTTATTTGCTAACTCATTTTCTAATTTATCATTCATGTCATGTATGGAGGTAGATTCTCTCTGAGCACTGAGGTAACGTTTCTCAAGGGTTGTGATTCTTTCTTCCATATCTTCCTTCTGTGCCATGGCCTACAATTAAAATAATAAATAAATTAACATCAGATTTTCAGATAGTTTGATGTATTGTCTTGTTATTTAAATAAAATAGTGAGGTATAAAGCTATTGTTTTCTTGAAGTAATATTCATTTCTTGCTTTTCGTGGAAGGTATGCAAAATTTCATGTGAATTTTCCCAAGTTATCTGTCAGAATTCTTCTTCCATCTCGGATTACCAAAAAGTTTCTCTCTCTGAGAACGCAGTGGAGTACATGAAACTGCCTACTGTAGAACCGGCATTAGAAAAATAGTGGCAGATAAATTAGCTCATTATACAGTAGAGATAAGTACAATTATGCGTATAGTTGTAAACCATAAAATCGGTAAAATGGTGGCTACCGTTCCAAACTGCAAAGCAACCTTCAAATATGGATAACCAATATCATCAGTATCCTCATCTTCATATATAAGTAAGAGTAACTCAGTGGCTAAAAAAGGAGGTCAGAGACGCCTGCGTGGCTCAGTAGGTTGAATGTACGACTTCAGCTCAGGTTACAATCTCATGGTTAGGAGTTCGAGCCCATATCAGCTTGCTGTTGTTAGCGAAGAGACCGCTTCGGATCCTCTGTCCCCTCCTCCTCTGCTCCTTCCCTGCTCATGCTCTCTCTCTCAAAAATGAATAAACATTTGTAAAAAAAAAAGAAAAAAAAAAAAAAAAAGAAGGCCCCAGAAAAGTACATTAGAGTCATATTCACAAATGAATTGACCAACTGACTTTGGAACTTAACCATTTTCCTTCTTACATATATTCCAATTAAAAAAAGAATTTAGAGAACTCAATGAACACACAACTCTAGGGAAAAACCAGCTATTAGTGCAAATGGAATAACCATGTCATTAATAATGTTCTTAACTATATTTTTTTAGTTTTTATTAAACATTTTTTAACAGACAGTGCAAGCAGGGAAGGGGCAGAGAGAAGGGGAGACCCAGAATGTGAAGCAGGTTCCAGGCTCTGAGCTGTCAACACAGAGCCTGATGCAGAGCTCGAATCCATGAACAGTGAGATCATGACCTGAGCCAAAGTCGGATGCTTAACTGACCAAGCCACCCAGGTGCCCCACTCAACTATAATTTTTAAACCATCTAATTCATAGATAATTTGGTGATGATTTTGTCTTCCTAACAGCTTCCACGAACATTTATTAGTAGGTGGATAACCTACTTTTTAAAAAAAGTTATTAAGAAAAGTCAGCAGTGGAAGCAAGGCTCGTGGGCCTGCTGTGGTTTCCTGATAATGTGGGAAGCTCCTTTGCATAAGGAGCCCAAAATTGACATGGTGGTGGTGGTTCCCATATGTTACTTTCCAATTACTTTGATTAGTGTTCCTAATTAGTCCTTCTGGTCCTCTCCTTCAGGATCTGGAGCCAGTCTTGCCACATGCACAGAGCAGATACATTTGCTTCCATTTTTCCAAAAGAAATATTAGAAACCCTTATATGGATAGTCCTTCAATGTCCCGATTTTCCCTCATCACCACCTGGAAATAACCATATGCACAGATCTTTAACCTCTAGCTTTTAGTTTTAGATCAAGTGTTCACTTTCTCTCAAAGTTTTAATCATTATCTGTGCTCTAGACTGTATGCCTTTTCTGCTTTAGGGACCTTGATCACTTTTCTGTCCTGGATTTTCAAGATGATAGCAAAAGTAAATCCTACAACTACAGCTAAAACAATGAAGCAGGCTTACAAATAAGCTTGTACAGATCAGGCTTGGAGAGAAGAGGAAAAAGGAATGATTTAAAGAAAATAAGAATAAGAATTACAAAGTATCTGCTTGATCACTGACTGTAACTGAATTGAAATTATGAAATTTTACTAGTCTGGTGGAGTGGCCGGAAAGATACACCATAGTTTTAAAAACAAGTAAGGAAATAAACGTATCAAGTAATTAATACAATCCTGGAAAAACAAAAAGCTGTACAACAAAACGAATGCTATCATAGGAAACTACTACTTGGATCAGTTGTGGAAATTATTTACGCAGCCATAATAATGGTGACACTAAATGTGATTTGGGGGTAATTATAGTGGAAGGATGGGCGAAAGAGAAAAAGAGGGAATAAGAAAGCTAAAATCCACTGGGTGTCTGGGTGACTCAGTTGGTTAAGTATCTGACTCTTGATTTCGGCTCAGGTTATGATTTCAAGGTTCGTGAGTTTGAGCCCCCATCAGGCTCTGCACTGGCAGTGCGGAGCCTGCTGAGATTCTCCCTCTTTCTCTGCCCCCCCCCCCACACTCTCTCTGTCTCTCTCAAAATAAATAAGTAAACCTAAAAAAACTAAAATCCTCATATAATAGCAAGGCATTGATTCAATAAGAGTGCAAATAGAACAACAGCTAAAGGATTGAAGTTAAGAATCTCAGGCAAGTAAGATGGAAAGTAAGTAGGCACTTTGTGTGTGTGTGTGTGTGTGTGCGCTCGCGCACATGTGCATGTGTTTAGATTCATACCCTCTTGATATTATTTGTCTTTGAAAAATTATGTATGTGCAAAAATTAAAAGCAATTAAAAAACAGCATTTCTACCATGAAACCCCTTATGTCCTTAGTCCCCTTGCCTAATCAAATCAGCTTTTCTTAGAATCATCCTTGAAATCTTCACCATAACTCCCCACTTGATAATCTAACCCAGATCTTGCTCCTGGTCTTTCTCCTGCTTCCTTACCCTCTACGCTACTAACCAAGAGGTAATACTAAATGCCAGTCTGATTGTACTGCTTCTTGGCCTAAATACCTTAATATGTTCCCCTCCATCTTCAGTGAAAATCTGAGCGACAAAGCCTAGAAAACAAGTAGTTTCATGACCTGACACTTCTATCTCTATGTACTGGGATAAATGGTGGACCTCCCCACCCAACTACCACCCCCCCCAAAAAAAACCAAAAAACAAACAAACAAAAAAACACACAGAAACAAACAAACAAACAAAACCTAAAAAAAACCACCACATTCATGTCCACCTGGGACCTGTAAATGTGACCTTGTTTACAAATAGGGTTCTGCAGATAGAATCAGGATGAGGTCATACAGAATTAGGGTGGACTTTAAATCCAATGACAAGTGTTCTTATAAGGAGAGGCAGATTTGAGGACATGGAGACATACAGGGGAAAAAGGCAAGGTGAAGAGAGAAACAGAGACTGTAGTTATATTGCCATCAGCCAAGAAGACCAGGATTGCCAGCAACCACCACATGCTAGAAGAGTTTGCAAAGAAGGATTCTTCACTAGAGCCTTCAGGGGGAGGAGTATGGCTCTGCTGACATCTTGACTTCAGACTTGGTGCTTCCAAAGCTGTGAAAGAATAAATGACTGTTGTTTTAAGCCACCCAGTTTGTGGCAATTTGTTCCGGGAGCCCTAAGAAACTAATGCACTTTTAGACTTCATTTGTGTCTGGAATGCATTTTTATTACCTTCTTTGCCCACCTCAATCCTATGGATCTTCAAGATTCAATTAAAGACTACTTGATCATTATGTTAATATTACAGTTCAAATGTATGGAATTCAATGAATCTACCAATTTGGCAAAAAATCACCCAGATTAATTTTTTCAACATTATCTACACATCTCTAGATTTTAGCCAACACAAATAAAAGCTACTATTTAAGAAGATTTTATTTTAAATTTTGACTTTTTCAATCTATACACAGGTTTGAAATTTTGACTTTCAATTTTATATGTTTTGGCCCAATGAGAGTAGAGTCATCTTAGAGGATTCCTTCAGAGTGCTTAAAATTGTTAAGCTGTATTTTGTTAACTTCATTTTCATATAGAACTCTGGGAATATTATGTCAATTTTTGTAGCCAAAAAAGAGAATTCTCAATCTAGCCTAGATATATACATTTCTTACAAAATTGTAATAGCAATAAGTTCAGTTCAAGACACATACATGTTTCTTGACAACATGAACAATGGAGTAGCACATACTAGCTCCAAATCCCAGTTTTTGCTACTTATTAACTCAGTTATCATGGATGAATGTTGATTAACTTTTTTATAACTCATTCTTTTCTTTTTTCTGGGTTTGTTTGTTTGCTTGTCTGTTTTGTTTTCTGTTTTTGGTTGGGATACTAATACACCATATAACATTGTTGTGATATAATATTTTAAGTGCCTGTGTAGTCTTATGTATAATAAACACTCCATAAATAATAGCTTTTTGATTATTAATTACTATTGAGCCTATAATGAACTGATCTGACTTTACGGCATACATTGCATGCAGGAGTCACTGCATATACTTTGGTACTTCATTTTTGATTCAGTGATTCATGTGGGAGATTCAATTTTTAACTGCAAGCTGTGTTGCCAAAAATAAATTTTGAATTTACAAGTTGGAGAAATATCTTTTCCCTGTGTGTCACTTGGAAATTCTAAAACAGGAAGCTTTTCTAGTCTCTGAAAATTGCTCTCTAAAGAAGGAGAAAAAGAGTGTAAAGATTCAATTATCTCTTGACCTAAAAGTTTGTGTACAAAATAGATTTTATTATATCAAACAAATATAACTCTATAGTAACTCAGACCTAGTAAACTGAAAAATAAAACTCCATGTTTCAGATAATGGAAAAGACAAAATTGATATATATTCATTTAATTACTTAGGAATTTTTGAAGAACTCTTAATAAATTGGAAAAATAAGGTGGTTTTATTCACAAAATAATATGGAATTTAAATTCTAATTATTTGCATATCTACTTTGTATAATTTTTGCATATTATTTAATAAAATATTATTAAATACCCAATTAGTAGCTTTATTTTTTTGTTTATTTATTTATTTTTTTGAGGGAGAGAGAGAAAGAGGGAGAGAGAGAGAGAGACAAGCGAGGCATAGGCAGACAGAGGGAGAGACAATCTCAAGCAGGCACTGCACTGTCAGCACAAACTGTGAGACCGTGACCTGAGCCGAAACCAAAAGTCGGACACTTAACTGACTGAGCCACCTAGTTGCCCCCCCCATTAC